AGGAGCTATGTTGTCTGGGGCACTTAGTGCCCCTGGTAGGGTCTCCCATGACAAATTGGTCTTAGGTGAAGGGTGAGACAAAGAACGGTTCGAAGGATCTTTCATGGCGGTTAAAACGAAGAGTCGGAGTACCCGGCCCGGAGGGTTACCGGGGTCCCACCCTGGAGCCAGGCCTGGGGTTGGGGCCCGTGAGCGAGCGCCTGGTGGCCGGGCTTTCGCCCATGGGGCCCGGCCGGGCCCAGCCCGAACCGGATACATGGGCTCGTCCAACTGTGGACCCACCACCCGCAGGAGGAACATGAAGGGTCCGGTGCAATGCGAATCGGGTGGCAGACCAAGGCGGGAGCCTTGGCGGTCCAATCCCCGGACAAGAAAACTAGTTTTTGGGACATGGAACGTCACCTCGCTGGCGGGGAAGGAGCCGGAGCTTGTGGCAGAGGTTGAGCGGTACCGGCTAGATATAGTCGGACTCACCTCGACACATTGCATTGGCTCTGGAACCCGAGACCTGGAGAGGGGTTGGACACTCTACTTTGCTGGAGTTGCTCCGGGTGAGAGGCGGAGGGCTGGGGTTGGCTTTTTGTTAGCCCCGAGACTCTCTGCCTGTGTGTTGGGGTTTACCCCGGGGGACAAGAGGGTAGCTTCCTTGCGCCTTCGGGTCGGGGAACGGGTCCTGACTGTTGTTTGTGCTTATGGGCCAAATATCAGTTCAGAGTACCCACCCTTTTTGGAGTCCCTGGGACGAGTGCTAGATAGTGCTCCATCAGGGGACTCCATTGTCCTGCTGGGGGACTTCAATGCTCACGTGGGCAATGACAGCTTGACCTGGAGGGGTGTGATTGGGAGGAACGGCCCACCTAATCTGAACTCGAGCGGTGTTTTGTTATTGGACTTCTGTGCAAGCCGCAGTTTGGCCATAACAAACACCATGTTCGAACATAAGGATGCCCACCGGTACACTTGGTACCAGGGCAGCCTAGGTCACAGGTCGATGATAGATTTTGTAGTCGTATCATCTGACCTGCGGCCGTATGTTTTGGACACCCGAGTGAAGAGAGGGGCGGAGCTGTCAACTGATCACCACCTGGTGGTGAGTTGGATCAGATGGCAAGGGAACATGCCGCGTAGACCTGGCAGACCCAAACGCATAGTGAGGGTCTGCTGGGAACGCCTGGCAGAAGAACCTGTCAAGACGGTCTCCAACTCCCACCTCCGGCAGAGCTTTAACCACGTCCCGAGAGCAGTGGGGGACATTGAGTCCGAGTGGGCCTTGTTCCACTCTGCGATTGTCGAGGCGGCTGTTGCTAGCTGTGGTCGTAAGGTGGCCGGTGCCAGTCGTGGTGGCAACCCCCGTACCCGCTGGTGGACACCAGAGGTTCGGGGAGCCGTCAGGCTGAAGAAGGAGGCCTACAGGGCGTGGCTGGTCTGTGGGTCTCCGGAGGCAGCAGACAGGTACCGGATAGCCAAGCGGGGTGCAGCAGTGGCAGTTGCCGAGGCAAAATCTCGGGCGTGGGAGGAGTTTGGTGAGGCCATGGAGAAAGACTATCGATCGGCTCCAAAGAGGTTCTGGCAAACTGTCCGGCGCCTCAGGAGAGGAAGGCAGCAACTCGCTCACACTGTTTACAGTGGGGATGGGGAGCTGCTGACGTCAACTGAGGCTATAGTCGGACGGTGGAAGGAATACTTTGAGGAGCTCCTCAATCCCACCAATGCGCATTCCGAGGAGGAACCAGAGCTGGGAGGCCTGGGGATGGACTGTCCGATCTCGGGGGCAGAAGTTGCTGAGGTAGTCAAACAACTACACAGCGGCGGAGCCCCGGGGGCGGATGAGGTTTGTCCTGGGTATCTCAAGGCTATGGATGTTGTAGGGCTGTCATGGTTGACACGTCTCTACAACATTGCGTGGTCATCGGGGGCAGTTCCTAGGGAGTGGCAGACCGGGGTGGTGGTCCCCATCTTTAAGAAGGGTGACCTGAGGGTGTGTTCCAACTATAGGGGGATCACACTCCTCAGCCTCCCTGGAAAGGTCTACGCCAAGGTACTGGAGAGGAGGGTCCGATCGATAGTTGAATCTCAGATAGAGGAGGAGCAATGTGGTTTTCGTCCTGGCCGTGGAACTGTGGACCAGCTCTATACCCTTGCAAGGGTGATGGAGGGGGCATGGGAGTTTGCCCAACCAATCCACATGTGCTTTGTGGATTTGGAGAAGGCTTATGACCGTGTCCCCAGGGGCACCCTGTGGGGGACGCTCCAGGAGTATGGGGTGGGTGGCTTTCTGTTAAGGGCCATTCAGTCCCTTTACCAGAGGAGCGTGAGTTTGTTCCGCATAGCCGGTAGTAAGTCGGACCTGTTCCCAGTGAGGGTTGGACTCCGCCAGGGCTGCCCTTTGTCACCGGTTCTGTTCATCACTTTTATGGACAGAATTTCTAGACGCAGCCGTGGTGTGGAGTGTGTCGAGTTTGGTGGCAGGAGAATCTCGTCTCTGCTTTTTGCGGATGATGTGGTCCTCCTAGCTTCATCCAGCTCTGACCTTCAGCTCTTGCTGGGTAGGTTCGCGGCCGAATGTGAAGCGGCTGGGATGAGGATCAGCACCTCCAAATCTGAGACCATGGTTCTCGACCGGAAAAGGGTGGCTTGCCACCTCCGGGTCGGGGGAGAGGTCCTACCTCAAGTGGAGGAGTTTAAGTATCTCGGGGTCTTGTTCACGAGTGAGGGTAGGAGGGATCGGGAGATCGACAGGCGGATTGGTTCGGCGTCTGCAGTGATGCGGACGCTGAGCCGATCTGTCGTGGGGAAGAGGGAGCTGAGCCAGAAAGCCAGGCTCTCGATTTACCAGTCAATCTACGTCCCAATCCTCACCTATGGTCATGAGCTTTGGGTAATGACCGAAAGAACGAGATCGCGGATACAAGCGGCCGAAATGAGTTTCCTCCGTAGGGTGGCCGGTCTCAGCCTTAGAGATAGGGTGAGGAGCTCGGACATTCGGGAGGGACTCGGAGTAGAACCGCTGCTCCTCCGGATCGAAAGGAGCCAGTTGAGGTGGTTTGGGCATCTGGTCAGGATGCCTCCTGGACGCCTCCCCGGGGAGGTGTTTCGGGCATGTCCTGCCGGCAGAAGGCCCCCGGGTCGACCCAGGACACGTTGGAGAGGTTACATCTCCAATCTGGTCCGGGAACGCCTTGGGGTCCTGCCGGAGGAGCTGGTGGACAAGGCCGGGGAGAGGACGGCCTGGAGCTCCCTAATTGGTATGCTGCCCCCGCGACCCGGACAAGCGGAGGAAGACGAAGACGAAGACTTGTATTGATTTTTCCATTCCTTCATGTGCCGACCAGAAAGGGAGGAGACTTGGGCATCCTATAGGGAGCCTAAGTCACTTCCGCACCATGGGTCCCCCAGAAGAACGAAAAAATGAATGCAAGTCAACAGGGCTAAAAACGCTATTTTCTAATCCGCTTTGCCTTGCGCCCTGGATCGCACATATGTTGTACTGCAATTTAAATGAAAACTATTGATGGGAGTTTCGACCACGCCAGTCACGTACTTTGACATTTATTAGCTTGTAAAAGTTTGTAATTAGCATGACTACAAACTAAAAATCGGCACGGCGCATATGTGACGTCACCACATAATCTCCTCTCCCCAAAGTAGCTGCTACTTACCAAATGACCAGATTTAGGGTGGTTCTTCCCTCCTGTGGGAAGTTTGCTGAACTTACAGCCATTTCCCCTGAGTTTTCTCTGTGTCTAGTTCGATGACGTCACTTTCGTGAAACGTATTTTTAGTTCTGGACTTATTTTCACACAAAACCTAAAATATCGTGTGTGTGTGTCCGTTCAAAAATAAGCACATTGTGAAATCCATGGCACAAAACAAGCAAAATTAGAAAATAGCGCTTTTAGTCCCATTGACGTGCATTCATTTTTTCGTTCTTCCGGGGGACCCATGATGCGGAAGTGACTTAGGCTCCCTATTGATATTCAGAAATCCCATCTCTGATTGGCTAAAAGCTACACCACATTACCACAGATTCTGTTTGCTCTGCAACATGGATGTTTTACATCCACAAATAACACATGCCTGGAGGAGCTCTGCTGGGTGGTAGAGTTGCTTATGCTAACAGTTAGCCTCTAATAGCTGAGATGTTCTCTGCCATTTCCTGGATGGTAAACTAACAACAGCATTCCCTGTTGCATATCAAGATGGATGAGTCCATGAATGTTAATTTGACAGTGTGACATAGATTTGTCAGGATTTTCTAGTCCGAGTGTTTCCCCATCCATTTCCTTTCAGCAGCTAATGCAGGAGATAGAAGCCGCCTATGTTCACGTTCAGCCTTCATAGTAAATGTGAGTGACTGGCCGCATTTCAAAGAGAACAAGTATTACCCATTTCTCAGTGAACTTGGTCTTTAAAAATTCTCAATATTCGCTTGTGCTATTTACAGGTGGAGATAATGACTGTTACCTCTCTTGGTTATGTACCTGAGGCATCGCCTGACTTCTGCATCACCTTTCAGACCTTTACCCAATGAAGCAAGTCCTGCTTCCCTCCTTTTATATTTAAATTCCAAGAATACTGCTTTAATTTTATACCCTCAGTTTTAAGGCACCTTTTCTATTTTCTTGTACTGACAAAAATAATTTGTTTTTTTAAATATGTGCAAGAATTGCTTTAAAAATAAATTTAAATTGTACAATAATTTAATAATTTTCTCATCATGATTGAGTGAGTGAGGATTTTACTTACTTACTTTAGTCTAGTAAGTTAGTGCTACTTAGTAAGAAAATAAATGCAACAGCAAACAACCAGAAACAGCTTTAAGGAATGTGTTTCAAAGCCAGGATGTTTAATTGAACTCCTTCTGTTATGATAATAAAACAGCAGAGCTAACACCCTTCAGAGCAGAATCCATTGTCTCATTTCTATCAGTTTCTCTTTGGTCAGCATGCACAGCAAGTGGACACCATTCCCCTAACGGGCTGAAAACACATGCTGCTCACCTCATTGTAAGTTGAACAGTTCTTGAAGACGAGGCGCATATCTTGCACAAACTCTTGTATGGACTTGTAATACTGAGAGCTCCGCAGCTGCAGCTTCCTCTTCACCCTTTTCAGATCCATGGGCTGCTTAATAATCTTGTAGTAGTTGGGCACCTGGATTGAAAAAGAAAAAACAGCTGGGTCAAGTTACACCAATAAATATTTCAGATGGAAATAACAAAAACGTAAATAATAAGGTTTTATTATGTTTAATGAAATGTAACTAGAAATGTTTTTCTTCCAATCAATTTTAAATAAAATGGTAATAAATCAGAAAAATGATATTTAATAAATGCATTATTGAGCTAATAACAATATTGATGATGATAACTGGAATTAAAGCCTAGTAGTTGGTAGATCTGTGAACAGCCAGTTAAACTTGTCCTTGAAAGCATTAAAACACTGACTGAGATTAATCTGTTAGCATTTAGAGTGGCGCCATAGAAGAGAAGCACAGTGAAAAAATCAGGAGACTGTTTCATTTATCTGATTATTTATTATATTCGCTCTCATTACTGTATATACGGTACACCCAATAGGGCTCTGAGATCCCTTGGAAACAATCAGCTGATAGAACCACGGATCAGAACAAAACAAGGCGGAGATGCATTTAGTTACTATGCTGCTATCATATGGAATCAGCTTCCCCTTGACCTCAGATCTGCCCCAACTCTAGTGTTGTTTCAATTAAAACTAAATACCCTAATGTACCCATCAGCCTTTAAATGAATTGTTTCTTATGCTGCGTCATCTCCACTGTAATCTGCGCTGTAACTTTGTCTTCTCCTTTAGCTCTAAACTGTAATTCTATCTGTGTCTATTTTAATTTGTGTTTTTATGTTTTCATATCATGTTCCGTACGGCTTTGAGGACATTCTGGTCCACCATCCGGCACCTCGGGGGGGGGGGGGGGGGGGGGGGGGGGGGGCAGTGCGCTACCAACACTTTCTGCAGTGGGGACGGTGTACTGCTGACCTCTACTCAGGACGTTGTGGATCGGTGGGCAGAATACTTCGAAGACATCCTCAATCCCACCGACACGTCTTCCAGTGAGGAAGCAGAGTCTGGGGACTTTGGGTTGGCCTCTCAAATCTCTGGTGCTGAGGTCACTGAGGTGGTTAAAAAGCTCCTCTGTGGCAAGGCTCCAGGGGTGGATGAGATCCGCCCGGAGTTGCTTAAGGCTCTGGATGTTGTGGGGCTGTGTTGACCGATGTGGCTCTGCAATATCGCGCGGACATCGGGGGCAGTCCCACTGGACTGGCAGATCGGGGTGGTGGTCCCCTTGTTTAAAAAGGGGGACCACAGGGTGTGTTCCAACTACAGGGGGATCACACTCCTGAGCCTTCCTGGTAAGGTCAATTCAGGGGTTCTGGAGAGGAGGGTCTGTAGATTGTTGAACCTCAGATTCAGGAGGAGCAATGTGGTTTTCGTCCTGGCCGTGGAACACTGGACCAGCTCTATACCCTGAGGGGGATCCTGGAGGGTGCGTGGGAATTTGGCCAACCAGTCTACATGTGTTCTGTGGATTTGGAGAAGGCGTTTGACCGCGTCCCTTGGGGGGCCCTGTGGGGGGTACTCCGGGAGTATGGGGTACCAGGCCCTTTGATACGGGCTGTTAGGTCCCTGTATGACCGGTGTCAGAGCTTGGTCCGCATTGCCGGCAGTAAGTCGGGCTCGTTCCCAGTGAGAGTTGGACTCCGCGAAGGCTGCCCTTTGTCACCGATTCTGTTCATAACCTTTATGGACAAGATTTCTAGGTGCAGCCAAGGTGTGGAGGGCATTCGTTTTGGTGGCCTGAGGATCAGGTCTCTGCTTTTTGCAGATGATGTGGTCCTGTTGGCTTCATCAGAACGTGATCTTCAGCTTTCGCTGGAGCAGTTCGCAGCCGAGTGTGAAGCAGCTGGGATGAGAATCAGCTCCTCTAAATCTGAGACCATGGTCTTGATTTGGAAAAGGGTAGAATGCCTTCTCCGGGTCAGGGATGAGCTCCTGCCCCAAGTGGAGGAGTTTAAGTATCTCGGGGTTTTGTTCACAAGTGAGGGAAAACTGGAGCGTGAGATCGATAGGCGGATTGGTGCTGCATCTGCAGTGATGCGGGCGTTGTACCGGTCTGTCGTGGTTGACCGAAAGAACGAGATCGCGGATACAAGCGGCCAAAATGAGTTTTCTCCGAAGAGTGGCTGGGCTCTCCCTTAGAGATAGGGTGACAAACTCTGTCATTCGGGAGGGGCTCGGAGTAGACCCGCTGCTCCTCCACATCGAGAGGAGCCAGTTGAGGTGGCTCAGGCATCTGGTCAGGATGCCTCCTAGACGCCTCCCTGGTGAGGTTTTCCGGGCACGTCCAACCGGGAGGAGACCTAAAGGTAGATCCAGGACATGGTGGAGGGACTATGTCTCTCACCTGGCCAGGGAACGCCTTGGGATTCCCCCGGAGGAGCTGGCCCAAGTGGCTGGGGAGAGGGAAGTCTGGGCCTCTCGTCTTAGGCTACTGCCCCCGCAACCTGACTCCAGATAAGCTCCAGACAAACTAATGAATGAATGAACGAACGGACGGACGGTCCTGCTAATTATAAAGCACATTTAATTGCCTCTGTGTTTGAAATGTGCTCTATAAATGAAGCCGCCTTGCCTTGCCTTCTATGATCGTCATTTAGACGGTGCTGTTCCATCTCCTGCATGAGACGATGCTTATCTTATAAGTTTCTTATCTCTTTTTGGACTCAAACCAAGTTAATGCTCCTTATGTGTCATCATGTATAATGTGGACCAATTAGAAAAAAAGATTCATATTTCTGGGATTATACAAGTGAAGTAAAATGCTTAATTTAGGAGCCATGATGTAGTGTACCAGACTGAATGGTGCGTGTGTGAGCACTCACAGAACTAGGGACCGGTTCCCTAAAGCCCACACTCAGCTCATGACAGAAAACATACAGCAGGACCCGTTCACATTTCTGTAGGCAGAGGAAGAGAGAATTAGCTCAGTAAACTCATCACAAAGACGTTCTCTGAGGAAGGTTTAGGTGTGCAGACCCTTTGGTCTTCAGCAGTCAGGCTCTGATCCTCTTTGAGTCTCCTGCTTTCATCACAATACTCGATTTCTGGGTTGGCTATACTTCGGCAAAACGTGCAGAGGAAGTCGCCCCTGAGACAAGCAAGCACCACACAAAGCTTCAGAATGGTTTATATTTTAGCGATCCTCAAATGATTTCTCATTCTAAAAAAATGAAGTGGTTTTTATTGGTCACTTACTTTGGAAAGATTTTTATGGTGGGTACGTGGCATTTCATATGGAACACTTTAGGACAGCGGTCACAGCACAGCAGGTTACCACCGTTGATACAGACAGCACACCAGTCCTCGTTGGGATCGTCTTCTTTCCCACCAGAACCCCCGGCTGCTTCTGATGCTCTGCTGCTGCTCTTGTCTACGTTTCCATTTGTGAGCGGTAGTTCTGACTGACTGTAACTGTTCTTGGTGGCTGACGTGTTGGTGGAGGTTGTAGAGGTGGATGGTGTCATGGTACTGGCTCCATTTAGTCCAGAACAAGGCGTGTCTGGCTCAGGTTCTGTCTTAATGCGTTCCCCGGGACCCCTCAGAGTGTCGTGGCCTGCAGATGCAGCTCCCAGGGGGCTGTTCTCTGGACTGCTCATCTGAGGGGGAAACAAACAATCCCTATGAAACATGTTATGCCGTGAGAGTGGGGTAAGGGTTGGGGTTGATGATGTAGCCGTGGCGCTAGAATTTCAGGCGCAGCACAATGCCTGAGCCTATGTAGGGGAAAAACTGCATGTTTGTTGTTTTACAAGGTTAACACCAATCTTTTCCTCTTGATCCTTTTAAAATTACGTGATCGGGCCTTATTTCTGATCTTGTGATCAAATCGGAGCATCCCTACATTTTACATTACAGATATCAATGCTTAAACCTGAATTTTGTTCATTCTTTTATTCCCAAAGATGAACGTTTTGTTTTCATACCATACAGGCACTCCTTCTAGCATCCGCTCCCCGTTCAGTCTTCAGAGAAGACGAGGGACAGCTGTAGCTGTCCTCTGTACCAGGTTCCTTCTTCACTTTAACCTGCTCTGCAGAGGCTCCACTTCCAGCTCCCCCTCTGCCTGCAGAGCTACAGCTGGAAAGAAAATGAAGCACAAAACATGGGCAAATTATTGTTGCAACTGCTGAAACTGATTAATGACACAAACCATTTTTAAAACTGGAGTCTATAGAATCACCAAGGGTCTTTGCCGTTTCAGAACAGGAAATATTACTACTGGAGGCACTGGTTAAACCACACAAATGCTTTAGAATGAAAAGAAAAATATCAGCATAGAGCTCATCTTCTATGCTAAAGTTGGATTATGTAAAAATGAAGTAAGAAGGGCATCCTGTGGTCAAACTTGGGTGCTGCAACTTATTTTCCAAACACACTTTCTTTCTACCGTTCCATGAGTTTCATGGCTGTTGCCAGTTATGGACCAGCGCCAGAAGACTCTAGGTCAGGGGTAACGATGAGTCATACACAGTAGATAAATACATTTCACTTTAATGTTGAGTTGTTGGTAATTGGACAAAGTAGCTTGAGATATTTTTAGAGCTGACTATTTGCTTGTAATTCAACATTAGAAATGTTGGCTAAACATTAGCCCTTACCCCGGCTTTCCACAGCAGCCGTCAGCAGCACGTTACTGCAGCAGCACGTCATAGCTGCTGATAGGAACGGCTGTGGTCAACAGAACCTTTTCCACAGGAGCCGTCAGCAGCCGTCAGCAGCGCGAGTCGGCCGCGTCTCAGGAGCAGCATGTCGCGGCCTTTATGCGCCGGTTCTATTTCCTACGCGCGACGCCTCTGAAACGGGTCAAGTTCGACATTTTTGGGGAAGGAAAGACAGGAAATCGGACGCGGAAATGGAGAGAAGCTCCCGAGATTTTCAGAATAAAGAACGTACTGCCTTCCGGTCGCTTTACTTTAAAAAAGGTTACTAACTGTGCGGCCCCGTGAGAAGTTATCACCTAGCTAGCGGTCTCCTTTGTTTTTCAGGTCCGTATTGGCGATTATAAAACGGACAGAATATAAAAACACAAACATTTTGGAGCCATGTTGTAGTTTTCTCCTGCTTGTTGTTGTGTTTACTGACGAAGTCACTCGTGTGACTTCGTGCCCTGTCGGTGACAGCTGCTCCTCTGCTGCGTCGCGTCTCGTGGGAAGGGCCAAGCAGCAGCTAGACGTGCTGCTGCAGTAACGTGCTGCTGACGGCTCCCGTGGAAACCCGGGGTAAGTCTTCTTTACCACAGCTTCAGGGTCGCTTCTGTTATTGGCTTAGGATCAGTGTCCAATTACACTTGGCACAGACTCGGCAGCCTCATGGGCCTACAGATTGTAAACAAAGACGCTCTAGCTTTTTATTATTATTATTTTTTTTTTTTTTACAAAAGATTAACCCCCCGGACAAAAAAAAAAAGAAGAAAAAAAAACACTTATCTAGCTCAGGCATCCTTTCTTTTTTTCTGTCAGACATTTCTTTTCAGAACATTACCTAAAAGTTACATCATAAAACTCAGTTCCCTAGTTTGTCAGGTTTCTTGGAGTTCTGTACATACTGTAACCTGGAATTAGACTTTCAATTTCTGTATTAGCAATGAAGGCACTTTAGAAAATAAACTTGTCTCAATAAACCAGTCCAAAGCTCATGTAGTGTAAACAACTTCAACACATTTAGAAGACAAGTAACCCTGTTCAGTAGCACAAATGTTTAAGTTTCAGGTCATACAGAAGAACATAAGAAACCCTCCTTTCCTCTAACTTTTAGCTCTGAATTAAAATATGTTGTAGGGATTTTATTTTTAAATGCCTTAAAGTTTGCATGGCTTCATGTTGTCCTACCTGCCTCTGCTTCCCGTGCTCGAGTTGCTCGAAGGTCGGGCTGGTGTTTGGGCATTAGACAGTCCTGAACACAAAAGTATGAAAGATGAAAAAAATGTTCATGCAGGAGTTGGAAATTACACAAAAACAATGCAATTTAGTGCAACTAGTTATGGGTATTGTTCAGCTTTATGGTTTTAAGAAATCGTTTGTATTATACTGATTGTTTATCATAGTAAAATAACCTTTTATCAGTTCAGGGTTGTTTTACTACAGATATCATTGCTTTAACCTTCAGATTCATAATTTATCTGTGGAAAGTCAGGAGATTTGTTGAAGGCAATGGCAGTCTATCTCTTTGAACTTGTAGATACCTGACAATCCAGGAGAAAGTGTTGATAGTCCAGGTGAGGGGTTCATGTCCAGAGAGCCGAGCTGATGAGTGCTGGCTGAGATGTAACGAGAAAGGAGATTTCCAAGGCTGGTGGAACCTGCATCCTCCAACTGGCAAGACAAGAAAACAGAAAACATTTGTTTATTCAAGCGATCAGACTTTCTACCAGTAGCAAAAACTAGTTGAAGCAAGCACATTAGAGATGGATTCATAATTATTTCTTGTTGTTTAATAAAAGGACATTTTAAATAAGGGCACCTGAATTGGAGGAATCTCAGGTAGGCATGGCAGTTTCTCAGGATTAGTGACAGAAGGAATGAGTTCAATGGGACCAATTATGGGGCTGGTTGGCCCACGGTGAACATGGGAACCAGCCATACTTGCACTGGTTGGACTCGTGGGACTGGCATTATGCAGGGATGCCACTGGGAAAGGGCCTGCATGTCCTGGATTGGAATGCTATGGAGAGAAAGAAAAAAGAATCTTATTAAAAAACAAGAAAAACACACTAAAGGTAAAAAGGAAGTGTAATGACCACAGAGAGGAATGGAAAATGAAATGGAAATGGACATGGATGGGAAACAATCAGAGATCACTCTCTAAAGTTTAAAACATAACACTTGTGCATAAAAAGCAACAATGCCATTATCATGCAGTTGGATGATCACATGCTGCACAAGACATGAGTATAGAAGAAAAAGTGCCAAACCCCTGACTGCAGTAAGAAACGAAACCTTGGGTGGCTCATCTCAGATTCTATAGACATCTGGACACAGAGAAAAATGGGCTGGGTACAGTGGGAGGGTTCTCTTATCTAGTCTCATGTGCAGAAAATAAATGGAAAATTTCTGAGACGCACACCGTGTCAAGTACAAGAGTTTACTGTTGTATAGATACACTAGTGATGCCTTATTATGCAGACCTGAGGAGATGCATGTATCCTTATAAAAGCACAGGAATATGAACAGTCACATATCAGTCCTGTAGGACATGATCTCAATTTCTCCAAACAAAGGACCTTCAGTAAGCCAGTTACTACAAATTCTCTTTGACACAAAAGCACACTTCAACCTGGGCAAAACATCTCTAAGTTTTCCTTTTTATTATTTTGCATCTTCAGGGGAAATAACCCATTTGAAAATTTGCTAAGCAGAGAACTAAAATGTTTTTAAACCTTTAATAAATAATTAGTTGAGCAAGAATCAATAAAAAAATAACTTACATCTGAAATCCAAAAAACTGCAGGTGGGATATTCCACCACTAAAAAAAATTGTGTCTATTTCCATATTCCCCAGATTTAGAAAAGTGATAATAAAGCATTTTGTAACCAGCACAGTAATTCCCCTGGTCTTGCAGCAGTCCGTCTGCTTTAGCTTAGCATAAAAAAATGGAAGTGAATAGCAGAAGTTAGCATTTTGTGTACAAAAGTGACTAAAATCACTCAACAATTATACCAGTTATTTACGGTGAGCTCAATAATCATGTCGACTGCAAATGAAAAGTAAGAAGTAACAGGAAGGATTTGGAAGAGCTGGTTTAGACTTGGAACTATATTACGACAAAACACTGCTGTAAGCCGCCGCTGCATGGCGCATGGATATAACACAATGGTCGAAGAAGCCACTGGTGGCTAAAAAAACTGCAATCCCATCTGTATTTTGTGAAGAACCAAAAGGAAGCACATCCTTAATTTTTGTAAGTGGTCTTTTATTTAATCTAACATCTTGAGCTTTGCTGGGCTATTATAAATAGCTGTAAGCGTGAAGTGTGGCTAATGCGTGTGTTTGTTTACAGAAACCGGAGGCTTTTTCAACCACTGTGTTATATCCGTGCCAGACCAAGAGAATTACTGTGCTGGTTACAAAATCCTTATTTTTTTTCACTTATCTAACTCTGGGGAATACAGAAATAGACTAAATTTGACTTAGGTGGAATATCCCTTTAAGCTTTTACATTTATAGCGAAAAAGATGTAGCTCAAACTCTGCCTCCCCTGCATTATCTATACAATAACAGCAACTGAGATTTTTAAATTACAAAAACCCACTAAAGCATGTGCAACCCACCTGTCTCTGCAGCTGTGGCTGCATCATGGGCGAGTACTGCTGTCCATTAAGTCTGGGCTGAGCTGTGGGCATCCGACCCTGAGATGGACCAGGCAGGCGCATGTGATGGGACGAGGGGTACATGGATGGATTAGGCCCTCCGTTCATACCCCCTGGACCCCTTTGTAGTTGCTGCATACTGATGAGCCTTGGAGGCTGATGTAGTTAAATAGAAATACATATACATTAACATCATTAAAAGGTAACAATAAAAATAACCCTTTCGTATTTTGTTTTACTTAAGCCGGGCTCACACTATGATTTTTGACTGTTTTCAATTTTCCCCTCTTGTGACAGAATCTTTGTGCAAGTATACAGGGGGTTACAAAGGGCGATTAAAACCTCAAGACCAGTTCTCGATCAGCAATCGTATGGTTGCATGAATATCAATCAATCAATCAAATTTTATTTATATAGCGCCTTCCACCAAGCTTGCAGGAGCCCAAGGCGCTGAACACAACATTGAATAAAATCACAAAAGAGCAATAAGATTAATAAAAACAGCATTAAAAACAAATGGATAAAAGGTCATATCACAAGCAATTAAGATAAAACTCATCCCATAAAAGCCATACGATAAAAATTTGTCTTCAGGTGACTCTTAAAAACCTGCAGTGCACATTCCGGTGTAGGCGCCAGGACCGAGAAGGCACGATCACTCCTGGCCCAGTGCCTAAAGCGTGGAACATCCAACAACTCCTGCTCAGCTGGGCGCAGAGATTTTGAGGGAGAATGCTGATTAAATAACGCAGTCAAATACAGAGGAGCATTACCCTCAAACGATATTTTGCTCGTCTCTGAGGATATTGCACTTTTGAAGCAGCACTGTGATGCAAAAGCACCAGAACCGTGTCAACACACGTTGTTTCCTTTTAATTTTACACTTTACTCTACACACGAGGAGGACTTTCCAGAAAGAGGGTTTTCTGTGTTTATGTAAAATAAAACAAGATTCATAAAAATGCTTTACTTCTTTTCTTTAGTCTTCCTTCTCCAGCCCACATAAACCCCTGCGTGTCCTCCTATGGTAAGCCTGAAGAATAACAGTTCGAACTCAAGGGTCCAACGTGTTGTGTTAGGACGACTATTTTTAGCACATTTTCAGGTCCGATCAGGTCCTAGACGTACAGTGTGAGCGGTCAGGTTGCATCCAAGCATTGGATCGAACAGTGTGAGAACATGACTCGTGAGCTTTGTTCTGCGAGGATGTTGTACAGTTTCAGACGGAGCTGAATGCTATGAGTGAAAAAGTCACATAGTACATCCGGTTTAAGTAGAGTTAAAGATTTTATTCCGGGATAGTACCGTACCTGCTGTTGAACTATGGGAGGGCCTGCCTGTCTGGGATGCTGCTGGGACAACTGAGAGGCAATTCGCATTTGTTGCTGGATCTGCTGCTGCTGTTGCTGCTGCTGCTGCTGCTGCTGCTGATGCTGATGCTGTTGCTGCTGCTTTGCATAAGCAGCCTGCTGCATGTGCTGCAGCCGTAGCTGAGCCAGGTTGATTTGTCCTGGGTGTTTGCCAGGTAGGACCTGGCCTGGTGAGAGGGCTGGTCCTACCAACACACCGGGAGGTTGTGCAGGTGGAGGTGGTTTTTCAATAACTAGACTACCTGAAATTAGGATTAGACAGCAGACACCAAGTTCAGAAAAGACATACATGCTTGCATACACCTGTGTTAAGAGCAATACAAAAAGGTTTTAAGCAATCACTCAAATATTTATACGTTGCCTTCAAAGAGACAAACTTTCTTCTAATAAGATCTTAATCTGTTTTAAACATATGCATCATGCAAGTAACCGATACCAGCCACTTTAAAGTATGAACTGAAGCTACGTATAAAGAAATTAGGAATTCTTTAAATTTTTTAAAGTCCCATTAATAATAAATATTCACACTGCTGAAATTAAAGCGGACTGTCAAGCCGGGAAGCAATGGGTCCATTTTTTTAAGTGCTTGGTATGACCCGACCGTGAATTTAAACCCACAATCTCCCAGTCCCAGGATGGACACTCATACCACTAGGCCACTGAGGCGGTTGCTCAAGCTTGCACAATATTTGACAAAAAATTTGAAAAAATATCTAGAACGGACACTAGCACCCTACATGTCTTGCTCTTGATTAGAACTCAACAAAAGCTTTAAAAGCACTTTATCAAATACAACAGTGATAAAGTTTTATGATGGCCTTTTGTTGCTGTTCTGTTTCACAACATAAAGGTATTTATTGCTGTTTAATTCTGTTTTACAACATAAAGGTATTTATTGCTGTTTAATTCTGTTTTACAACATAAAGGTATTTATTGCTGTTTAATGATGGCCACTGCTAAAATTTTCTATCCGCTTCCAGAAACTCTGGAAACGTGTCCTCCTGACGAGTGATCTATGGAGTCACTGAAGACTTACAGATTAGACTCAGATTGTAATCAGTCTATCGTTGAGGTCATTAGCAAACCAAATTCTGATCAATTCTTTAACCAAGGCTCTTAATGAGATTATTCCTCCCAACAAAAGTATTTAAGAATAAAACTGTCGTCTCACCGAGATTGACCACGTTTTTGGCCCAAAAGGTTGGATCACAGAAGAATCGTACCACTCCATTAGACTGTGGTGCTTGTTCCAGTCGAGCCTTGAAGAGCTGGCGAAGCTGGTACATGATCTACGAGCATGTGTAAAAAGTAAAAATCAATATTGTTCTTTAGTTAGGAATCTACTCTGCAGCTCCTTTCCTTGATGTGCATGTGAGAGTGGCGAGAAACCTACCGGCCGCTTGCTGTAGAGTAACGCTGTGCTGCTGCCAGAGGTGATAGCCCAGTGGCAGAAACCGAGCACATGGTTGACCTGTTGGGCCAGTTGGGTCGTATCCTTATGCTGAGCCACAAGCCTCATGCTGCGTTCTTTACTCACACTCTGGATCAGGATAAATTGTGTCGGATATGGTTAGGCTAAAATTTAATAATCCTTTGGAAGATTAAATTATTGCAATAAGAGAGCCAGAATGTATAAAAATCAAAAAGTGCAGCTGTGATTCTTATGTTTATGTTTATAGCAGACGCTTTTGTTCAAAGCGACTTACAAGTGATAATCGGCATATTGCCCTTGAGGCTAACAACAACAATAACAACAACAACATTGACATCAGTCATGGAGAGTAGGGAACAAGGAGTGGACAGTAGAGAGGGGGGGACGGGTGCAAGCAAGGTGCTGGTTAAGAAGATGCTCTCTGAAGAGCAGGGTCTTCAGGAGTTTCTTGAAAATTGAAAAGGAAGCTGCAGTTCTGGTAGTGCTTGGAAGGTCATTCCACACTTGTGGAACGATGCATGAGAAAAGTCTGGATTGTCCTGAGTGTGGTGTAACACTGCTAGTCTTATAGGTGAGATTCCAGACTCATGTCTGAGCTTTCACTCAAACATATATTTTGAGTCGTGTTATTAAAATGATGCCGACACTGACGACAACAGAGAAATTACTACGTTGGGGAGTGCTTGCAATGTACTGACAAGCACACATCAAGCTCCCATAATGACAAGCTACGGGTGTCCAATCCCGTCCAACAAAGCTATCACATTTCAACAATTCTCAAGCACATTGTGAAGGTGGTTTTCTTCTTACCTCCAACTGCTGAAGCAAGGCCTTGCCCTTTTTATTGATTTCATTTATGAGGGTGAATACTGCTATTTTAATCTCATGCTCCACCTTCCTGTGGGTCTCATTCAGCTCTTTTAACCTGGATATAAAAACAAAACAAACATGTTCGTAAAAACAATAATCACAGTAATGAAATGTGTTAACTGTGTCCAGAAAAAAATAAAAGCGAAGAAGAAACTGACCTGCTTTGCACCTGAGAAACAGAGTAATGGACATATTTCTTTTTTTCCTGCAGCTTGGACATGTTGGCCTCAATGATTCCTTTATGATTCTGGAAGGCTTCTTCCAGAAACTGGTACCTGAGGAATAAGAAGTCATCATAACATCATGCAAACTCATTAGCTTTGGTTTGATCACTTTCAAACAAAACAATTAAAGGAATCATTAAGAATGAATTTTTATGGACTATATTTCTAAGGGCAAGGGGAAAAAAAGACCCAAAATAATGATAATATAATAAAAATCAGAAACTCTAATAAATCTTAAAAAGTTTCTGAATAATCACAATAAAAAATACGTACAACAGTGGATTCAGCTGGTGAGTAACCATCTACCGGGTTATTTCTAAACGAAAACATTTCCCAAGGGAACCACAGAGTCAGCTACAGATGTAACAACTTTAGTTGTTTTTCTGCTTCGTGGTGCGATCTGACACTGAAACAATCTACAGTAGAAGGAGCCTCGGTAGACAGAGCCACGCCACACCAGAACACATCAGACATGTCCATTTCCATTTGCTACAAACTGATAGTGAAAATGCTGTTTTTTATTCATTTGAAAGTTGTCTGTCTTTTTTAGAGTTACATTCTTTATTCAGGCTTTATAATTGAAATGGGGGATTTGAGAAAAGCCCACTGAAATAGAGAAGTTGATAATTAACTCCAACAGCACAGAGTTTATATGTGAATAAAGAAACTAGGGCTGCGACAAACGACTATTTTAGTAGTCGATTAATTGCCAGTTTTGTTAACGATTAGTCGACTAATTGTGTCATGCATAAAAGTATAGCTTATTGCACCAGGAGGATCTAATGTATCCATCATTAGCTTCTAGCTTGAAGTGTGATCAGTTATGTACCATTAATTAAAACAAGATGATAGCTTATCAAACACCTTTTAATTAACTTTGTAACCTTTTAATACAAATAATAATCAAATGGAGGTAGGCAACTAAAACCAAAAATAAATTGTGCATAAAAATGACTTGTGCTCACAAATGTATCCAGCTAAAATAGTAATTTTTGGCTTAGTAACAAACTCGTCCGTTGAAAAGGAGTGCTTTTTTTTACGTGACATACATACGTGTTCTAAAGGTAATACAATCACCATCACTACTGTTGCTGCTACATCTATGAATACAAGTAACTCTCTGTTGATGTTAGCAGCTAACAAGAGGCAATTATCTTACAGAAGCAACTTCGTTCTCCGCCATGACGTGCTTCCTTTTAAGGTGCTCGTGCATCGTCAATGTTCTCCTAGACTATTGGGCATGTGCCTCAAACTGAAAGCAGCGGCAGACCCAGGTGGCCACTACTACACATGTGACTTGAGCAGAGAGATAGAAAGCAGCCGCTGAAAGTGCCACAGCAGGCAAGATTTACAAAATGCTTATAGAAAACGACATCAACTATTACATTTATAGTAGACTTTTTTGACTGTCAACGTGCTCATGATGAATCAATTAACTGTGGCAACACTAAAAGGAACAGAGGTCTTGTTAATGAACTTCCTGTGACATGATGTCAGACTGTGACACGTACATCTTAAACTTCAGACTGATATTTGCTGCTACATCACAGCTTTATTTTTCACAGCACACTAAACGTATTCATCATAACCCAATGACTGCCGTACAGCTGCCTTCTGCACAGGACTCCCTTGCAACCTTCCTTTTAAAATAAGAAACAAATGCATCTCTGGTTTATGGCCAGATATGGTAAATAAAAAAAATATTTGAGCAGCAAAAGCTGACTGTAGAACTACTCCCAAACAGTGGAGACACATTTGTGTACAAATCAGTTAAGTTTCACATCCCTAGAAGAAACGGATTTCCTTTAACGACATATTTGTGCATGCTGATCTACCTGTGCTCCTTGTGCTCCAAAAGCTGGCAGTCCCTACATGTCAATGTGTCACATGTCTCACAGAAAAGCTTCAGAGGTTCCTGCTTGTGGACAGGACAGAAGACTGGTCTCTGTCCCGATGTACTGACAGACTCTACCAGTGGATACACAAAGACATAACATCATTAGAAGCCAGAGACTGTAAATAATTACCAGAAAAGAAATTTTACAGATCATGACAATCATTTGTCAAAGGTATTACAAAATAGGGGTGTGCCAATTCACCATTTAATCAATGCATCGCAAGTGGTCATTCTGAGGTGGTATTGTGGCACGATCGTGCATAAAGGTTACGCAATTGCAGTGTAAAGTGGGTGTGGGGCAGTCTATATTCTGTCACGGACTTCCTATTAGCTTTTATGTCAATTGAAACCATGCTACTTAAGTTTTTTCACAAGCTGCTCCAAATGTTTATGTTTATGTTTATTTATTTGGCAGACGCTTTTATCCAAAGCGACTTACAATTTATAACCTATAGGGCATGTTGTGATCTGTGGGGGAAACCGGAGTACCCGGAGGAAACCCACGCATGCATGGGGATAACATGCAACTCCACGCAGAAAGGCCGCAGCCGAGTTTCAAACCTGCAACCTTCGTGCTGCGAAGCAACAGTGCTAAAAACTGCGCCACCATGCAGCCCAAATGGAGTCTGTTCTTCACAGTCCCTATGAATTGTCTAGTGACAATTGTCAGCTTCAGCTCTAAATCCAGAAGCTCCAGGATGTTTGCATCGCTCATGTTTGCCGTCTGAGCCTATTCTGTTTACAAAAGCAAAACGGACTGATCGTGTTTACTTTCATTTTCATTATTCACGTTTTTCTTGTAGATTTCATTCAAAAGGATGTTGGGTATGTGTTCATTTTTACATGAAGAGGATAGTGGGGTAAATGGTATTTGGTTACTTGGATTAATGTGTGCTGAATTAATTTGAATCGTGGGCTACCCAAGATGGCACACCCCTATTACACAATAGAAACAATTTAAGCAGTTTTACATGCATTCATCAGCATATAAACAGCTAAATCAGGACAGACACAGAGAACTCATAAGAATTTCAACATGCAGAGTTTACTAAATTAGAAGTGCTGTGTTACAAACAGAAGCCATGTTTTTACTACACAAGAACCTTATTTAAATCTCCAGAAACATGAGAAAAAAGGTCGGTATGTTAGCTAACTGAGTCCAAATGTAATCAATCTTACCAGAGACAGCATCAGCATCCTCCTTTGTACGGATCTTGTGGTCCTTGGTAATTTTGACTCTTTGATGGGCCTCCACACATGTCTTACACAACCACTCTCCACATTCAACACAAAAGCCTATGGTCCCAGCATTGTCTTCACAGCTTGTGCATACCTTGAAAGAAAGGACATAATAAATGTATTTGCTAATCTGTTCTTTACTTTAATATAAAAAAGGCAACAAACATGTACAAGTATTTTTCACCACCAAGTGCTAAATTCCACCGGTTTCTTAAAATCACCTAAAGATACGTCTAAACTCTAAATCTCAGGAGCCTCTAAGAGGAAGTGGCCAAAAAACGTGGTATCTTGTGTGCAGCAGAGAGTAATTTATAGATCCAATTAACCTAACAGTCATGTTTTTGGACTGTGGGAGGAAGCCGGAGTACCCGGAGAGAACCCACGCATGCACAGGGAGAACATGCAAACTCCATGCTGAAAGATCCCAGGCTGGGAAGCGAACCCAGGACCTTCTTGCTGCAAGGCAACAGCTCTAACCACTGCACCACTGTGCAGCCTCGACCAACTCATTTGACTCCAAAAAACACCAAAGTGAATAATTAAAGTTCTGTCACTAAATAGAATTGTAAATATCTATTCTCAAAAATTTCCAATAAGAAAAAAATAATCTAAGTTATGTCAGAAATTTAGGATAATGCCAAATGCTGCTTAAATAGTGGATAAATACAAATATAACAAGAGGACATTTACTACACTGTAGTACAATGACCAAATAAATACCTGTGCGGATTTTTCATCCAAAGTGCTGATTGCCTCTGTGTTGTCTTTGACGAAGTAGTTGTCAATGATGTCACTTTGTTTGTAGTCCTGGTAGCAAACTGAACACCGCATCACATTTACTGGACACAAACAAGAATAGATAAGAAATGGGGGTTTAAGGTCTGTTCTTCAACGTTAATCATTAGTGATACTTTACCGATTTTTGGATAAGAACTCAGAAAGTCAAAGCATCAGTCATTCACCATCACCAAGAACATATGTAGATTGCTACCTGACTCTTAGTGTCCTCAGGCTCATAAAAATTCCAACTTTAAATGAAATATGCTTTGGCTCCTGTTCTCCAGACTTCCTTTGGGGAAAATCTTTTATTATAAACAGTTTTCCCAGTGAGAAATTCATAGTTACATGATTTTGCATGGGTCTCTAGAAAATCAAATTCAATCATTTTTGGGATTTTTTTAAATTAAAAAAATCAAATCACATGGTTAAACACTGACCGCTTTTCTTAATCAGTTTGTTTGACTGTTTTAATAGAACTAGTGTTAAAATCGCCGACTTCCAGCAAATAATTAATTAAGAACATTAAATTTCCCACTTAACTCTGCTAATCGTCAAATGACAATCTTCACATATCAGTCTTAAATTAGGTTATAAAAATTAGCATCTCCCTTTTACCTTATTTCCTCCAATCAGTCATTTCAAATTCCATTCAATTCAAAGATACTTTATTAATCCCCACCCCACCGCAATTACAAAATAGCCACAAGCCCCCAGGCACCCACCCACCCCCAGAAAAAGCCAACTATCTGTTATAAAAACTAAACTAGACCAGCTAGAACCGGTTTACACTGGCTTGAGCAGCACACAGCCGGTTCGTGTGAGCTCCAGCTGCATGAGACCTCTGCTTGATTGGCTGTGGAAACAGCTGGACTGATTGTAGAACTCTCGCGCGCATACACACACACGCACGCACGCACACACACACACAAACCTGCAACACTGATGACATTTTCAACTGAAGCATTCCATCTTCAGCTTTGGACCCAATAAACACAACTATAGCAAAAATAAAATTATTTAAGTAAAAAATCATGATCAAGTTTAATTTCAGTTTTGCTTTTCTATCAAAAGCAAAACTGCAATCAAATCATTTCAGGAATGTTCGTAAGAATTAATTTTTAAACTGGTTCACCGTTTGTACTTGTTAAGAATGAAGAGAAGCTCAGTAATCTTGAAGGAGTGAAACTGTTAACATCTCAGCTCTGTTTGGCATTTGAAGCTAGGAAAATAAACTAGAAAATGTTAAACAAAGTGGTTGAAAGATTTGTAACTTTGTGATTCAAAATTTAATCATTTGGCAACACCCCCACAAATAGTCAGAGGATGATACAGATAATAAACCAAATGAAAATACTTTAACAAGATGAATATACAGTTATAATATGCAATGATGACAAGGAATAAATAAATAGTTCTGTCAAAATGTGAAATGGTGATCATTCTTTCTTTTGGAATTTACTTATTTTATTAGCATAAAAAATAAATATGATTTACTTATTTAAAGTTATGAGTGAGACACCTTTTAACTATGATAACATGATTCCATTTCCAGTCAAAAATTAAAAAAAAATTCAACTTTATACAAAAACATCAGACCATCAATCAGTATCCTAGCCCCTTTAAGACGGATCGTTAATAATTAATTGAAGTCTGGTTACTGACACTTTAACAGATTAACCTGTTGGATGAAGATGGTTAATTATTAATTTTTTTGATAATGTTTTAACAGAATACTGTAGAAAGTTACATTTCTGTTCTCTTACCAAGACAACAACATACCAAAGTATATACTTGGAATCACTGCAGCTAATATAAAACTTCCTATTAATTTCTAAGTAGTAAATCACAGACTAAACTGTTAGAATAATAAAACTGAATACCGACAGCAAGCAGTCAGAGTTTCATTTGTTTACCAGAGAGATGGATTAGGTAGAATGCATGTGCATATCAGATCTTTGACATGTTCCTGTACATTTAAAAGTATAAAAATTAAAATGAGTTTAATTGATCTTTGTTAAAAGTCTCATTTAAAAGACTGCTTAATATCTATTTTAGATTATTGCAAAGTGACTGTCCAATAGTTCTAAAATGTAGATGTTTACTAATAAAGCAATGTAGCATCAGCATCTTCCATAAGCACTGAGATAACATGTTTATAAATGTATAGATTATAACTGTTTTGCATTGCAATAAAAAAAAGGCTAAAGATCTTCTATTGCCAAATTGCTATTCATCTTGCACATGTTAAAATGTTCTTTAAACACACTGGATCAAAATACAACAACATAAGACAGAATAACCTAAACTTTGTAATTACAAGAAAATGTCTTCAGACATTAAAGCTGCAAGAAATAGTTATTTTGCATAAATTTATCTTGGCTTGTTGTGAAAGTCAAAAATTGTGTGGAATAAATCATCTGCCTTCTTACAAATCCTCAACAAATCATTGAATAAATTGGTTTTGTTTTGCTTCATACACAATTATTTCTTTACACAGAAAAACATCATCTTGTACAGCATTCAGAAACGTAACAGAAGCATTAAATCTACATTAAATGAGAAAATCAAATCAATTCATAAATAGAAAGGAGATTTGATACCTGGCGCTAATTTCATTGTGAGAATCAGTGCATGCATTTGCTACAGTGTTTATATTTTTATGTTGAAATAATTGGCAAACTACATTTAAGAAAATGTGGATTATAAGTCAAATTATACAAGTCTCCCATTGTTAAGTCTCAAAATGAACTATAGTAGGTTTTCATTAAAAGGTGTCCAGTCTCAAATGTCAGTTAATTTCCAACTGCTACCAAAAACTACTGAGATTCATCATCCCAGGCTACTGTTAAAGTCAACAGAAAGTAAATCCTCTAAACCCTTGACAGGTGATACTACGTACGATTGAGCAGGTTGATGTTACACATCAAAGCAATTGATAAAATATGGGAGAAATAACCAATTTATTTCCACGCACTTAAATCATTACACAACACACTCACCTATATGTGTGTCCGTTTGTCCGTGTGGTCCAGGCACCTGTACGCTTATTTGTCGGTCTGGTTGCGGGATACATTTTAGGCAAAAGGAGTGTAGACAAGGCAGAAGTTTCGGTTCACAGTCTCGAGTCTGCAGACTTTGTTTACACACTGCGCACGTATCCAGTAAATTAATGGGAGTGGATACCGGCGTGGCCGCCGCAGTGGAAGGTGGGGTAGGGGTTTCAGTTGAGGGTCCGCCAGCAGGAGCATCGGAGGCGGGAAGGGTATCGGCAACCGTGGGCTCCACATTGGTGCTGCCACTGGTCTCAGCAGGGCTAACGGTGTTGCTAATGCTACCGTTGGCTTCCTCTACTTCTACAGCAGTTCCGCCGCTGCTAATGTCTACTGTTTCGCTGCTGGGCGGGGGCTCGTCGTTAGCATTGTCTGTCTCGGTTTCCGCGTCCCCCTTTGAACCTGTTTCTAAAATGATTACCGCATTTTCGGGGTTTGGTTCCGTCAGCTCAGTATGTTGCACTGAAGACACCGAGTCTGGTTTAGCTGACGGTTCCATATCTTCCTCGCCTTTGTTATCCGCCATCTTCCTTCCTCTTTAGAGCCACTGCACGTTCTGCGTAAGTTCTCGAACCAGAAGAACGTACAGTTTACGTCATGACGTAAAAAAATAATCGATTTTATTTATCTTTTTTGTCTCTTTTCTAAAACTAGGAAATAAAAAAGACATTACGAAGTTTAATATGTTTGTCTTTTCGTTTTTTTTCAGTGACTGACCCTGCTTTATATATATATATATATATATATATATATATATATATATATATACACACACACTAAAGTATGGCGCCCATCTGGTCGTACTGCGCATACATTTTAGGACATCCTCAGGTGTCAGAGGCCAGGTATGGAGCTAGGACTGGGACAAAATTACATGCACCTTGTACCACGTTTTCATTAAGTATACATGTAATTCACGTTTTGTGAATTACATGCACATTGACATTAAGAAAAACTCTGGGGTTCTAACTGTGCCACAGCAAATTTAAATTATTTTGCCTTTTCACGGTACATAACATATACAATGAATGTTATACAATGTACAATGCATCAGTGGTGCTGGAGATGTTTCATTTAAACTATCAAGTCTTGTTTTCTGTTGTATATGTTACAACACATACAGACACACAAACACACATGCTGGAAGCATAGGTGTCTAAATCCAGTCATTTTTTAACTTTTTTCCCCTACTGCCACTGTCAATATATTTTGTGATTGTTTTTCCTAAATTCTTTTTCAGATACTGCTTCAAGATGTCCTCTGACAGTGATGATGAAAGGAGTATCTGACTTTGGCTGAATAAAGCAGAGTTTATAACTCTTCCACAAATTATTAAATAAGAAAATGAGCAAAAAATACCAACTTATTTATTATGGGACATGTTCTATACTAAATAGCCATTTTAATTTACAACCAACATCCAAAATACTTCAAATTAAGGCAACTGGACTTCTTTGGTTTCTTGAAGATGTTTCGCTTCTCATCCGAGGAGCTATTCCAGTCAGAATTGTCAAAGCTCTTTTTTCCCCTGAAGCAGTTTCTCCTGAAACCTGGGACTTATTTCCCATGGTCTGAAGTTTGACATCTGAGACCTGAGGATGTATTTTAGAGGGAATAAATATATCTCGAGGCCATGACTGGCCACAAAATGCTTGGCCACAACTTAATACATGGCCATGACGAATTTAAAGTTGCTATAACAAATTTGGAAAACTAATTGGCTTACAATGTTCATGCCTGTTAAGAGTTCTAGTATAGTTATGAATATACTGTGGAGATTTAAAAAAAACAAGAAAAATTAAGTCGTTCTTTCGCATTTTTCTAAAAAGCTCTACCCAAAACATGTTTTGTTCTGAAAAGCAACTATTGGGCCATCTGGTTGTCGGTCTTGCTGAACCACCACACTTCTTTGGATCCTCCATTTTTTACGCACTCACATATTTTGCAACAGAACACTGGTGGGAGAGGTGCTCAGCTCAATAATATCAGAGGAGGAACAGCTGGCTGCTACCACTTCAACTTTAGAACAAAATATGAAAGTCTCAAAAAGAAAAATGCCATTTGAAGTTGCTGACAACAAAAGATGTCTAGACTTATGGTGACTGACGGTTTAATTACTCTGGCAACGCAGGTGTCCATTTCCAGTAGAAGTATCTCGGGGAAGGTAAACAAGGGAAGAGGGTGCGTGTTTTGTGATGGTGTTTGCGCTCTAAACCTAGCTTGTACTGTAGATTCACTAAAGCAGCTTTAACTCATGGCCAACTTATCAATTTGTGAGTGTTCGAGAGCTCATCTATACTGAAAGGATCTCCTCTTAAAAGCCCAAAAGTAGTTAATTTTAGGTTTCATCATAGGGTTACTGATATTTCTTTTAAAGAATACTAACCAAATGTTTTATTTAATTAATTAAATCATCCCCCCCAAAAAATTTAAAAAAAACATCGTTCAGATAACCTGTGGAGATGATCAAATGAAAGAGGATGGGTTTCTCAAGTTTTCAGTCAATCAATCAATTGAATACTTTTTTTAAAAATCTCTGATTTTTGTTGGAATGTATTTCTTGCATTTGAAGTGGGTAAAAAGGCTGGTATTTTGTGCACACCAGCCAGACTTACCCCCTTTCTATTCTACACATTGGCATGGCTGTCCAGGCTAGAGATTCATATGAGCATCAGATCTCATGTACTCCAGATAGTATCAGTCTGCATCAGATAATTTCTGAGAAACTATCTGGTGTGGATGAGATATTATCTGGTGCCAATGTGATTTTGATTTAAAAAATGAAGCACACATATGGCTTGTGGTGGTGGCAGGGTCAGTGATCCAAATTCTTCAATTGTGTCTTCTACCAATCCACTTTTCTACATTAAAAAAATGGTCCAATGCTGTCATAGTCAGGTGACAAAACAGAAAATGGGAAATTACGTTAATGCTCGTTAAACACACGCGCGCGCGCGCGCATTTAAAAGAACCTTCTTGGAGCCTCTAAAACTAAGTCTATATTAAAATATTACAAGGAAATGTTGCGTCTTGGAATCGTGTTTTGAAGAAATTATGGGTGGTTTAAAACGTTTGCACAGTTTTATATGGGGTCTTGTACATAAGGTTTCAAGGAAAATTTACTAAAAATTAGGGTAGAGGGAAAACAGGTCACAGTTGGAGTTCAACTGTATTTTTATGCGCATCTTCGATGTGCATCTTCATCACGCACTGCCTTCGTCACATTCCTATCGAACACGGAACCGTAAGCATTATGTATGAGCACGGAAAAAAATGTAGGACATTTTATTTTGAAACTCTTCACCGGAAAAAGAACTTGGGTTCAGTTAGCTACTAGCCGCCGAGGAAGAAATAAATCAACAAATTAATCAGTAAATAGACTCATTAAAATGGCCGGGACAGCTTCAGTAGCGGGTGAAGTGTTTGTTGATGCTTTGCCGTATTTCGACCAAGGTTATGATGCGCCAGGTGTCAGAGAGGCGGTGAGTGAAATAAAAAATGTTTGCTATCAGAAGCGTGTTAGCCAACACGCTACATGGAAACTTTCATTAATCCTTAAAGTCGATGGCCTTTTAACTGTTAAATTAATATTACTTGTATAGACCAAACTAACGCGGTTATTTTTATATATAGCTGGTTAGTGTTTATTAGTGCGTAATAGACTGCTAGACGAAGAAACCAAAGAATCTCAACAAATGCACGAATTTTGTTAAAACAACATGAAACGAATATAAATTTTATATATTTGCATAATAGGTCGCAGAGACATTTTATGACATGTTTCCTTTCTTTAAATTTGGTTTATTTGGGTTCTAATGTGACTAATTATCCTTTGAGTTTGGCACGGGAAAAGATGCATAATTTGAGATTTTAACACCTAGAATCTTTCAGATTCAAACTGTGAACTTGTTGAATTGTATAGTTGATAATGCCACATTAAACCTTGTGAACAGTGATCAAATGGTTATCTGTATTTGCGTTTAGTAAATAAGGATGTAAATAACGTCATAGACAAGTACCATTTTAGGCATCTTTGGAGCTTTTATGTGGATGTTTTATAACTTCTTTTTGTACTTCTTGCTCCTTGTAAACCTAAAATCAGATTTAGTCTTCATATATTAGTTTATTTATGTATTTAATATTTGTCATCCTTTGTTATTACAAAATAGCGAATTAAGCTTGACAGGGCATTGCCGTAGAATAGTAATGAGAAAGTTGGTTTTAAAGCTGCAGAACCAAACATAAACCCTGTTTGATCCCTTAGGCAGCTGCATTGGTTGAGGAGGAGACAAGAAGGTACAGACCTACGAAGAACTACCTGAGCTACCTACCTACACCTGACTTCTCTGCTTTTGAGGTAAGAATCTAATTAGAAATGTGAGGTCTTCTTATGGACTTTCAGACTTTGACACAGAACTTACTGCACTTTGTTTTCACCCTTCCAGACAGAAATTATGAGAAACGAATTTGAGCGGTTAGCGGCACGTTCGCCTATGGATCTTTTGAGCATGAAAAGGTAAAAACTGCTCTGGTGGTAGTTGCCTTGCAAGATATATGTTTGCTTTGCAAATCATTTGCTCAGTATTTTAATAAATATGGACATTATGTTCTAATATCTTCCTGCCTGTGAAGATACGAGCTGCCAGCTCCAACTTCAGGACAGAAGAATGACATTACAGCGTGGCAAGAGTGTGTGAACAACTCCATGGCCCAGCTGGAGCACCAAGCAGTTCGCATTGAGAACCTGGAGCTCATGTCACAGTATGGAACAAATGCATGGAAAGTCTACAATGAGTGAGTTATGGCAGCTTTTATTTTTCAGAAATAGTACCATTGTTTTATTTGAAGACTGTTAATTATTTTTTTTGTTCTCCTTCCACAGTAATCTGGCTTTTCTGATTGAGATGGCTCAAAAGGAACTCCACAAATTCAGGTGAATTACGATGCCTGGACATTGTTTGCTAATTTAAAGGGCTTTGAGAATTCATATTTAGAAGCTTAACAATTACTTTGGTTGACAGGAAGCAAATTCAAGATTTGAACTGGCAGCGTAAGAATGATCAGCTGGCAGCGGGGGCCAAACTACGCGAGCTGGAGTCTAAGTGTGTCTTCTGAACAACTTCCATGTCACTGTGTGGAGAGAACACGTTGTTTCCAGATGTCTTAACATCTGTGTTTTTGTTTGACAGTTGGGTGTCTCTGGTCAGTAAAAACTACGAGATCGAGAGAGCCATAGTCCAGCTGGAGAATGAAGTAGGTCAGCTCCGGCAACAGCAGGGAGACGAGAACAAGGAGAACATCTGTCAGGACTTCTGAAGAATCACGCAAACTCAAAACTAACGTTCCCTCAATCAGACACGTTTTCTACAGATCTTTAAATCAACCACATGTTTAGGATTTTCCACTAAAAACATTGTTGGAATGTTTAAAATGAACTTTTATCAGAATCGTGTTTGCTCTAAGCAAAACTGTAGATTCCGATCTCATCTTATTTCAGGCTGAAAACGCAAACACACCTGTAATAGTTTTATTTTCTGTTTGCAGCGCTTTAGTAGGTGTTTGTTTTGTTTTGCAATTTTGTCATTTCAGACACAGCTGAGTTTTCAGTCCTAAGTTTTATGTTTGTGCTACTGATACCCTGGCAGTAGTTCCAATAGTTACTACACATAAGCCTCATAAATCTAGCTGTTTTTTAAGTTGCCTTTCAACAAAGTTTTTAGAATTGTAAATAATTTGTCAGATTTGAAGCCAAAATGAAAGGACTCCACATAACTTACATTTACTATTTTCTAAAATGCTGTTTGTAACAAAATGAGCTTTTATAATAACTTCCATTGTCATCTGTCTTTGTTTTTTGTAACACGTTTATTTGATATTTTTAAGCTCAACTGGGTTTCTCAGTTTGACCAGAGAACAGACATGATCAGTTATCTTTGCCCTCGTTTGGAGATGAGGGCAATAGGGAATATTTGTTCCTTTGTTTACTCATTAGTGATGTAAAAAGTCCAGGACAACCCCTCTGATCATTTTAAGTAGACACTGAATATTGTAACTTTTGTAAGTAGTTACTTTTAATAAATTGTCAATAGAATGTAAAGGTACTCAATAAAATGTAATACTAGATATGGATTATAAAATAATCCAACTATAATATTTGATGATAAAACCAGGTAATTTGGGTTTGCCAGGGAACTAACACTTTATAATACTTTGACACAGGCAAAAATCTAGTTTTTAAAAATCTATTTAATACTGTATTTCTACTACTATGATAATGCAGAACAAATTATAAATGAGTTAAGGTCATGAAATAATAAACCTTTATGTTGATTTATTCATCACTGTAAAACAGTCATATTATATCACTTCAGATTAAACATTAATTATGCTTAACCTGTTAAGTAAACAATTTTATGAGCCAGAATAATATATTTTTATTAAAAGGGAGTTAGATAAAAGTCTTTTCTCCTGTGAGGAGACCTTGACTTTGTAGGCCCGATAAGTCAGGAGATATTTCACTATCGCCTGTTCCTGGTGTCATGACACCCCTGGTTGTCATGGGTGGCACACTGACGAAGCAGGCCTTATCTACGTTACAATATTAAAAACACTGGCAACACCTGTCATTTATCTGTTATGGTGTGGGTTTGTTTGCCTCTACCACACCCCCACCCCCAACTAGGTAATTACTGGGGTTTTGCCATTTTTTATGAAAACAAGAGCAAGTTGGGATAGCTGAAAGGGAGGAAGAAAACATTAAATTAGGATTGTTTAGGTACATAAATAATGGCTCCTTATACACTTTTAACCCTCTGAGTGCCTGGTCTTTTCCAGAAAACACATTAAAACTAATCAATAATATGAATCAGGGATTTTTTTCCACATAAATTACTTTACAAAGATCTGTTTCATTTTGGTGGAGTACTTTTCAGCAGCCAGTTGCAAAGCCATAACAAAAAGGCCCAAATCACATCATTGTTTTATCCTGCAAGATATTTATGGAAAAGTTTGCCAGTCATTGTATGCATAAAGATGCACATTAAGATTATGTGAGCTGAGCTTTTGCCAACAAATAAAAGTTCACACTAAATTGTGACTGTATTTACACATTTAAGAAAAAAAGACCATAAAAATATAAACACAAATATGTCTGGATATTAGATAAGATTCAAACACCTGTTTCAGAGCATTTAAACTGTGGTTAATATCATCTTAAACCAGAAAGTGTAAATGATCTTTTATTTATTAAGCACTTCCACATTCCCTACAAGAGAAGAATCCTCATTTAATCCAAAACAGGACAACCTGAATGAATGGCAACCTGTTCTTTGGGAAGTCAAACAGCCTGGTTCCACAGAATTATCTGCATGGTTGTCATGGAAACACAGATGTACCGCAGGGAAAGGAGCTACGCAGTGAAGTGGGTGCACCAGGTCTGAGGAGTTTCTACATACACAACCCAAAAACACTGAAAATCACTCATTCACTCATGATCACGCTGTCATTCTGTCGTTTCCAACTTTTACACAAGTCTGCAGGCACTGGTGTACTGTAAGATGGTTCTCTTTAGCAAAAAGGTTGTCACTGTGACATAATCCTATAATTTGGCCGCCTCGCCTCTGTCAGTGCGCCCCAGGGCAGCTGTGGCTACATCGTAGCTCATCACCATCAGTGTGTGAATGATACACTGTAGTGTAAAGCGCTTTGGAGTCCTTACTCTGAGAGGCGTTATACAAGTGCGAGTCATTTATTATTTATCATTTTATTCAACTGTGTGCAAAAGTGAACACCCACTGGTAGCTGAAGAAGTAACAGTGTGGAACTCTTGGCCATGCTTGAGTCTATATACTGAGAGTGTTGAGAGCTGGTACTAAAGTGACAGCCTCTGGGAGGTTCTGGTTCTGATCCTGGCTTTCTTTACTTTGAAGAAACTTTTGTCGATGCCTCTCCTCTTGACGCTTCTTCTTCTCTTGCCGCTGCTGCTCTTTCCTTTGCTTGTTTGTCAGCTGCACAGAGCAGAAAGAAAATAAGGGTTCAAATTATGAAATGTTAAACACAATGAACAGCTTATTTTTAAGTTAATTTTGTTAGTGCAAAGTATTTTTCCACCTTAGATTTTTGTGTTATGTTGCCCTCTGCTGGCTGCTTATGCTCACTGCAGTCTGTGGATGCTCCTCTGCAGGCTGAGCAGGAGACAAACGTGCACTTATCCTGACAAGACCGATCAAACACGGAACCAGCAAGCCATTCTGCGTTGATTGTTGCCGCACTAAGTTGGAGCAGGTTTTCTTCATCACCTGAGGCGAGAAAAGCAAGGTTTAAGAAATCTAGTTCCTAACTGAGCTGACTCCTGAAAAAATAATTTTTTTCTCAGCAGATAACAAATGCATCCTCTGACCCTGGATCGCACGATTCTTGATGGAGCTCAGGATCACATTTTCCTCTACATGTGATGCTGGAGACGCTTTTTTCTGCCTGTCACCTTGACCATCTCCAAATTCACGCTGTTGGCCGTGTGAATTTTGCAGGTTCTGGAAAAGGCAAAGGAACAAGTTAATGATGTCTTTGTTCATGTAGTAGCATTTCATTGGAATAATTAATAAAAATTTTAATCAAAAATGGATCAAACTTCTACAGAAGATATGTAAATTATCATTTCAGCAAAGATTTGTTCCGCTGTTATTTTGTGAGTCTGAAGCTACTGATCCATACCTCTAAGCGGAGTTGAGCAGGACTCTCAGAGTTGTCTCCAGTCCGTCTCACACTATCATAATGATCTCCATAGCGATAAGCAATGTGTAATTCCCTACATGCCTGCTTCTCTGCACCATTTATCTGTGAATAAGTAAATAAATTATGGTAAACTAGAGATGTTTAAGTGACACACGGTTAAGCCAGTAGCTTAGTGCCTACCTCCCACAGCGGCGTGTTGAGCTGATGGATGACCACCTTCACCTGCTGACTGCGAGCAAAAGCTACAATTGCATCATTTCCAGCAAACGTACCCGGCTGGGAGAGGTTGGACACTAAAAGAAGATATTAGTGACATCTTTTATTATTGAATTTGTAAACCTAACTCCTAACCCTAACTGAACCACTGGTATTCCTTCACATCACATTAAACATTCTCTCTCTCCTGATAATTACTTTTTGGTTTCCTTGACTTTTGATGTGCTGATACTGGTTTATCCGTTTGATTGTGGATCCACTGGGATAAATACAATGGGGTTTATCTTTCACCAAATAGAATATTTACTAAGACATCACAATATAACTGTAGACACATTAAGTGTGTGTGTGTGTGTACGTGCGTGCGTGCGTGTGTGTGCTCTGTCTTCTCGATCCCCAGTGAGTCGTGGAGGATGGCTGCTTATACTGAGCCAGGATTCTCTGGAGGTTTCTTCCTGTTAAAAGGGAGTTTTCCTCTCCACTGTCGCTGCATGCTTGCTTAGTATGAGGATTGCTGTATAGTCACTGACACTAGTCAGTGACTTGATGCAATTTGCTGGGTTCCTTATATAGGACACATTATTTCTGATTGGCTTAATGAACTGAACTGAATTGGAATGTTTATTATGTGAAGTGCCTTGAGACGACTCTTGTCGTGATTTGGCGCTATATAAATAAACTTGAATTGAATTGAATCAAATCAGTGAGTAAATTTACATGCACCGTTTGTTCTTATTTCTTACAGTGTTGTGCAAAGGGGATGTCATCTTCAACGAAAGGCTCAAAGTCTTGTCGATGGGACATCATGTACTGAACCGTCTCCTGGCGAAGCTGCAGGTGACCACGAGAGTGACCCTCTAACTGATCACCGAGTGCTCTGAACAGGCAGTTCCTGCAGGAGACAAAGATCATCACCACATGAACATTTTTAACCAAAATTTTCCCAAAGGAGAGTTGTCAGAATATTTAAATCCAAAGCTGCTGATTTTTATTGGGAAAGAAAAAAGCTAGAACACTTCAAGGTCAATACCATTTTCAGAGCTGCAAGTGTACATCTCCCAAAACCTCTGGTATGTAGTAAAAAGACATAATAAAAAAAACAATCATTCACAATTGTTAGAAAACATGAATTAAGTTCTATATTAAGGCAACAGGAACATTGAAATATGAGTTAACACAACACCAAGGAGGCAGAAAAAGCTCACAGATCTTAGAAAAGAAAAATGCTGCCCGTCGCTCTAGATGCGATTATCGTCCTCCAGGAAATTTGGAGTCTATTTTTCAAAAAGTAAAAAAATAAAAATAAATAAAAATTCACAGGTGTGAAGCAAGCAAAACAAATTTAAGATTTCATTAACTTGTTTCAAAGAGTTTCAAGTAATAATCCTTCAAGTCATTAAGACTAAAATGAGAATGCATGACAATAACAAAAACCACAATGTTTAGTTAACATCAAATGCCCTTTTTGCCTTCAAACCACACTCAACATAAGCAGAACCATAAGATGGCCAAATACCTCTACAGTGATGTAAGATTGATCCTACAGTATTTTTTCAAGATATTACTGCTATTAACTACTGAGTTATGGGATGTGCTTAAATGTTTACACAACGTTTCTGCATCTTGTAACATGGTGTAATAAGGTCTTATTGGATTGTGTAAAACTACAAAACAAAATAAAAGATTGTTTGCATGCAGCACTTTATTAAACTGATTTAGCACTTCCATCACACGAAAATTTTGTCTTGGGGAGTCAAACAATGTTTGAAAACATGGGTCGCAGGATCAGAGACGGGCTCTTACCCGTCTCCAGGGACTTCCCTCAGCTTGAGCCCGAGGGCCTGGAGCTGATTGGAGAAAGTGACAAATTCTGCACCTTCATCTCCATCCTGAGGGCGATTCTTGCGATCTTTTGCGATAGCTCGACGTGCCGCTCGCTCATCCCGCTTGCGCTCTTGTTCTCCCTTTTTATTGCCCCGCAGTGGTTTTGCTGTTTGTTTTCGTGACATTTCTGTTGCTATGATTTCTCTGGGTCACCAATGCAGGAATGTTACAGTGATGAGCTGGCACTTCATTAAGCAATACACCTCATCTGAAACCCATAAAAAGAAACATTTGGTGTTAGTTTAATAAATCTAGAGTGAAGCTATATTTTACAAACATCTTAATAATTTCTCTAAAAGCTAATGCAGGGGACAAGGCTGATTAAATGCACCTCATTTTCTTTTTATATTGTTTCATATAAATGTTAGTATAACAGCTCTCAAACTTGAATATTTATACAACAAATCAAAACATTAAGGCAGAATACAGCATAGTGGAAGACCTAAGGGAAGACCCAGGACACTCTGGAGAGACGGCTCAAGGCTGGCCAGGGAATGCCTTAGGATTCCCCCCGAGGAGCTGGTCCAAGTGACTGGGGAAAGAGAAGTCTGGAAATCCCTGCTTAGACTACTGCCCCCGCAACCCGACCCTGGATAAGCAGTCGAAAATGGATGGATGGATGGATCGACAGCATAGTGATCACCAATAGTAAATCACTGAGCAAAACTGAAGTCACATTTTGCCAGTGGCTTTCAAATAGAATATTTTCTTTTATTTATAAATAATAATGTCATTATAGTAAAAATTTCTTTTATAACAACTATTTGTACATTATTTTGAAAATGTCACTTGTTTCAAACACATACATATACATGCATAGAAATATGTGTGTTTAAAAAACTTTTCAAACCTGAACCCGTTTAAGAAAATGATTATTTTGCCTTCAACATTCACAATGTCAAATTTACCAGTTTCAAAACAATTGTTTTAATCTGTCACGGGATTTTTTTTCCCTATTTCTTACATTATTTGTTAAAACCTTTAATAAATAAATTAGCACTTTTTTGTTTAGTTAGTTCCTAATTTAATTTTCATCTACGTACATTAAAATAACATTTTTGTTGCTTTTTTTAGCATGTCTAGTAATAATGACAACAGATTCTGGCTTCCTCCTTTCTAACATGAAAACTTGATTTATACTGTTAAGAGTTTTCTGTTAACCAAATTTAAAAATGCACTCAAATGAAATTAGCTGTAGTCGGCATGTTTCCAGATGATATTTTTAACGTAAAGTTAGACATAAAGCTGAACGATTGTTTTAAACATTTTGTTAATTTTTACATCAAGTTAATCCCACAAATGAGAAATGGTATTACTTGTTAGCGAAATTATTTCACCGAAGCGTAAAGTTGGTTGTTTAACGTCAGACGATAAGCTAACAAACAGCTAAAGACAACAAAATCTTCCCTTTTTCTCGCTTTTAGTTATTGAAGAAAGAGAAAATGTCGTTACGCTCTGAAACGTACCTTGAACAAACGGCACACAGCGCGATATATCTGCGTTTGGGCTCAGAAAACGAACGTAACGATAATACGTTTTTGTTTACAACTGTAGTTCCGCATAGCGTGCATGCGTCAGTTAAATGTACGGGAAGCGGAACGGGACAAGCTAAAAGGCGACTAGAAAATACACCGTCGATTTAAATGGATTATTTTACGCAGATAAAAAAAACTATATATATATATATATATATATATATATATATATATATATATATATATATATATATATATATATATATATATATATATTTATATATTCTCATTCTCCCAAGTGGGTAGAGGCCTGGGAGCTGGAGGGTTCTGTGCAGTATCTTAGCTGCTCCTAGAACTGCACTTTTCTTGGACTGAGATGTCTGATGTTATTTCTAGGATCTGCTTAGCCACTTCTCCAGTTTGGGAGTTACTGCTCCGAGTGCCCCGATGACCACGGGCACCACCAATGTCTTTCTCAAGTTATTCTTTGAGGCCCGGATACTTCCCTACATTCTCGTGTTCCTTTTTCCTGATGTTGCCATCACTTGGTATTGCCACATCAACTGCAACAACTGTCCTCTGTTGTTTGTCCACCACCACAATGTTCAGTTGATTCACCATCACCATTTTGTCAGTCTGGATCCGGAAGTCCAGCAGGAACTTGGCTCTCTCATTATCAACCACCTTAGGGGGCTTCCCACTTTGACCTTGGGGCTTCCAGTCCATACTTTGTACAGATGATCCTGCACACGATGCCATCCACTTGGTTGTGGTGTTCCATATGCTTTCCCTGCCAGCATCTTACACCCTGCAGTTACATGGTGACTTGTCTCAGGGGCCTCTTTGCATATCCTATATGTATTGTCTGGTGTCATAGATCTTGGCCTCTGTTGCTCTGGTGTTCAAGGCCTGTCCCTGTGCAGCCATGATGTGTGCAGCCTCTGTGCTGTGCTCCGCCTTACCTGTGAGAATTGCTACACCGATACATCCCCTCTCATGTGTGCAAAGTAACACTGTTTGCAATCAATGGCCCACATTTGTGGGAGTAAGTTTTAGAATGGTATCTCATAGAAAATGTTGATTCTGAAAGAAAACTAAAGGTTTTCTGACAAAAGTATGGTGTACTCATTTATGCTGAGCATAAGTTATAAGAATATCACAAATATGACAGTTTGCTGAGAGGTTTAACAAATGTAAAACTGCATTTTGTTCAGTGTTTATTCAATACGTTTTTGGCTCTCATGAGAAAAAATGCAAGGTCAACTATCTGTCTGCCTGCCATCTAGGCTGTCTGTCTTTCACTCTATCTGTCTCGTTTTGTGCAGCCGACTGTGACTCAGGAGAAAGTAGGAGGTTGAGTTACACATGGAAGAAATCATCCCTCTGAAAATCACTCCACCAGTCACCACCAACTCTCGATGACACTACGCAGTTGGTGTTATGAGGGGGACAGTGTGTGCTGAAAGCAATGCTTGTTTTGATATAAATCAATGTAATTAAGACCATTAGATGTAGATTTTTTAAATCATAAAAGTCTCAAAGCACATTACAAAATAGGCTGAGGAGTAACAGTTGTATTTACTTCAACTCCATAAACATAAATAACAATATGTATATCTGGTGTGTGTGCGTGTGTGTGTGTGTGTGTGTGTGTGGTCTTGTGAATTTTGGCATTGTACACCCTGAAGGTTTTCATGTATTTGTGCATCAGTCTCACAAGTGTTAGTAAATGGTTGGACAGCTTTTGTGTCATGGTAAATGGCCTGTATTTGATATAGCGCCTTCTAGAGTCCTGGAACCCCCCAAGGTGCTTTACAACACAATCAGTCATTCACCCATTCACACACACATTCACACACTGGTGGGGATGAGCTACGATGTAGCCACAGCTGCCCTGGGGCGCACTGACAGAGGAGAGGCTGCCGAGCACAGGCACCACCGGTCCCTCTGACCACCACCAGCAGGCAACGTGGGTTAAGTGTCTTGCCCAAAGACACAATGACAGCGACAGACTGAGCGGGGCTCGAACCTGCAACCTTCCGATTACAGGCGAGCACTTAACTCCTGTGCCACCGTTGCCCATCTTTTGGACTGCAAACACTGAAATTGTACACGTGTCTTCATTTAAATATTTGCACTTCTCAAATTGCATTCTTTGTTCATTAGAGGCTGTGATGTTTAAGTAGGTAAAATGAAATACAGCAGTCCGACTGTGGTCGGAAACATTTGTTTTGGAAATATGTGATGCAGTGCTTCTCAAATGATTGGATGTTTATTTTATGTAGTCTATGGTTTGTATGTGTTTTAAAACACAGCTTTTATTGAAATTTTTCAGTTTTTCTTCTTAAGTGCATTTTGTATTGACGCTGTCCATGGTGCTGAAAGACCAACCTTTTTTCACAATACATTAGGGCACGTTTTGTCACAATATGTTGATGTGACATTAATTGAGAACTAAAATTGTGATATTCGACTGAATTTATTTGATGTATTTTAATGTGCCAAGATTAAATGTTGGAGAAGAATAATCCAGACCCTCAAATTTGATTGTGATCATTAAGTGTTTATGGTTTGACCATTTTAAAATCAAACTTCTAAAAACGAAGAGACCTATTTTTGTTTGGAAATAACAAGAAATAAAATTAGATTTGTTCTTATCTGGACATTTTTAAAGCTGTATTTTATGTTGTGGTGGCTTTATGTGCTTCAGGGTAAAGTGATGAAGAAGGTGAAAATCATCAACGTGCCGTGCTTAACCTCTTGTGAATGTGCATAACCACGGGGCATTAAATAATGAGCACACACAGAGGCCTAAAACCTCCAGCTTGCAGTTCTTCCCCCTTTACCGCCCACTGCTCACACTACCGCTCACACGCACACGCACCAGCAGTGGGAGTGGATGTTCGCGTAGCTGCTGGAAGCCAGGATGGGATAATCATGCGCGTCTGGCTCCGGGTGTCGATGCAGCTGCCGTTGCTGTATAGGAACCGGACTCGGGGCGCAGGGTGGGTCTAGCCTGCGGACTGGAGCTGTTTGGACTTGGCGTTATCAAGCATTCTTAGAAAGACGAGGGCGATGGCCGTGAGAGGAGTTGGTGCAGCTCTCTGAAACACCCAGACAAGATACATCGAGCATTTTCACCGATGGAAGACAGGATTCACCGAGATTAAAAGCGCAGACCAGGGGTTGAGGGATCCTGGGAAGGGAGGAACAGAGGCTCCGCCTCAGCAAATCATTTGTTTTTCTTCAGGGTATTTTTTTAAGATTTCATTGAGCCAGGCGTTGAAACGGAGGAAAGAGTAGCGGATCACATTGAATCCGTGACTGCCTCTGTGGATCGTGCAGCAGCAGCCGCATCCCACCGGTGGTGGTGGTGGAGGGGGGTTATTTTGATGGAGAGGGCGCAGTGAAGGCTGACAGAGCGGCTTGGCGCGTGTAGGAGGAGACGGGGGGAGAACCGGGCAGTTTGAAGGGACGGGGAGCGAGGAGCGGCGCGGCGGCTCCATGAGCGGCTCCTGTCGGGAGAGAGCGCCCACAGCCCATCCGGAGCGTCTCCACTGCCGCGGGTAGAACCCCGGGCCAAAGGACGGCGGTCAGTTTGGAAGTTTTGATGCATATGATCACAACCACCATGATTTTTATGATTCTTGGTGCTTCAGTTGTAATGGTAAGACATCCTCCCCTCCCTAAGCCACAATATGAAAATCAAATTTCCTATCTGAAGATATTTTAATAGCCCAGGAGAAAAAAAATCACATAAATCTGTCAGAGTTTTAGGAGACACTGTCTTAGAGCAGACCTATGAATGTGGAAGTAAGCCTACCTATAATTAACCTACCTGCTGTCATAAACAAGTAAGCAACATCCCCCCACCCACCCCCTCTCAGGATCAGGGAGGATCTGCAATTGAAAAAAAAATTCTGTAAGAATTTTCTTTCCTAATTGTTTCATGTTATGAGTAAGGTAATGAAAGCCATTTGCTGTCTGTGGTAATCGCTTAGCCTGACATGTCCCAGCTGACTGGCATGATTCTTTGCAGGCAATAGCCTGTTTAATGGACATGAACGCACTACTGGACCGCTTTCACAACTACATCTTACCGCATCTACGAGGGGAGGACCGCGTATGTCACTGCAACTGTGGAAGGTAAATATCATCATCCTCCACAATGTCTGAAAGAAAGAAATAGGGTTCTGTGTTCTCTCGTCAGATTTTTAATGAAGAGGCCTGATTTTATCCTCTCATAGCATCGGATGTCTCCTCTGAGAGTTGTTCTGCGTGTATTTAACAGATATGATCTGTTTCCCCGTGTGTTCGAATCGCCGCATGTATAAAAAGGACAGAAAAAGGTGTGTGCAGGAGCCATAAATAGGTAATGAACTATGGGGCCGTTCAAAAACAACATGAGCATCAAGTGCGCTGCTCGGTTCACGCAGGCCTGCGCGGTGTCGCCGAGAATATAAAAACCTGCTGGGCCAATTACCATCATAGGGGGGCTATAGAGGGTTTAAGAGGGGAGGGACCTGCTGTTTGCTCTCATTCAGAGCTTGGCTGAAATGTGGAGAAACAGCAGCAAGAGCCTCATCATTAATATGAAATGTATTTTCATGAAAGAGTTTAGTCCAGAAATGAGCAGCGGTGAGCAAAAGGATGAAGTAAGCCTACCTGAACTGAACAGCTAAATAAAAATTAATACTGATTTTGGCCTCAAACGTGAAAATCCCGAATAACATCTAGCTGCAGGTGTCCAGATGCGCTTCACAGCATAAGGGGGACTTTCTGCAGTGTGTGGGAGATGATGTGTTAGCAGTTCATTAGCAGCTTTAAGAAAATAGCCTTTATAATAAAAAAAAACTCATCATTGTTAATTTCACCTGAAAAATAAACTGAATTAAAAGTAGAAATGTGTCTGCAATTGGCTGAATGAAGATAGCACATGCCTTTAATCTTGAAAATCAAACAATTGTTTATTGTTAGTTTAAAGGCATTTCCACTGATCAGATAAATAACCAAAGGCACAGTCAAAACTCTTTTCCTCCTTTTGGTACTCAGATTACTGTATCCACATTTTTCACTGACCTGGAAACACTCCTGACTGGAGTCAGTCATCTGTCCTCACATCAAACAGCAGAAATAGGATATATGGAGGGAGGGAATCCTGGGGTTTTCCTGCTTGTCTTTCCATCCATGAGGAGTGGAGGTGAAGGGATGCCCACGGCATTCACCTTATCTGGCTGGGGACACAGCCCATGTCATCTTATTTGTCTCTGTGGTCCGATTCACGGGCTGGTAGATAAAGTTGAGTACAGAAGGATGGAAGTCTGCCTATATGGCAGGAAATTTTACTTTGTGTGGAAGGCATAACTGTGTGGGAGAATTTAAGGTGTAGGGGAAAAATACCAAAAATGGGTTAAATAACTTAAATTGCTCAAATAATCATGTGTTGGGCCCATGAAAATCTTTTTTGATTTATACAAGCGTTTGTTCCTAGAGGAGAAGTTTAGGCATGAATGTAGCTGCAGGTCAGGGAGATCCAATGGGCGTAAAGGTGCAGTCGATGTTCTAACGCTAAAACTTTCTACAGGCTCCCTCCCAAGCCATTATACAGGAAAATGTTGGATGTAACAGATAACATCAAACCACCCTAAAAACACAACATTATCTATCAACCGCTGTTGGCACCTTTTCCTGCAGGCTCCTGGCTTCTGTCGAACTCCTCTAGAGTTCTCTGGACTCTGTCTCTAAAGCTTAAGAGAGAGAAACCTCTGGGATAACAGATCCAGTGGAGGGAGGACTGGGCTTAGTGCCCCATCTCCTATATCTGCTTAGGCTACATATTTGTATACAACAATTTATGCTAGCTAATGTAGCTAGCATGGCTCTGACCTCACTTTCTGTTCAGCTGCTCCAAGCCAAGAATGTGCGATTCGTTCGCGGAAGGCTAGTTGCAGAAGGGTTAAGGAGGGTCAGAGGGCAGTTTGATGAATGGATCAGGATCCAGTTATTAAAAGGACATTCACAATGATTGGAAAAGCTTTTTTCCAGGACTGTACATTAAAATAATACATTTTTTGACAAAATATTAAAATCAGTGGTTGCCATTGATATGTGAAGAGCATCTCAAACAATAAGACTGAAAAGCACCAGAAAAGCACAATCTACCCTGGCCTGGCTTGCCAGACTCGCCCTCTGTCTATTCTACACAGAGAACAAGTCTGGATACTACGAGGCAGAGAGCACCTCAAGGGGTGGGACTAGCTCAAAAACTGTATCACGTGATGCTGTAGTCAAAGATGGTGTCTGGCAACGGCTCAAACATTTTTCTTTAGAAGAAAGGCTTTTAGCGCTTCTTCTTCTTGTGGTTCCAAAACCATGTCCAAGTCATATAGAACAGAGGAAGTGCCGCATAGAACTTGAAGTGCCATCTTCATTGTTTATGAGAAACTTAGCATTGCGGTGTGTGACGTACGCTGCTCAGCACTGACTGGCTCAGTTAGAATTCTCAGGGGGTGGGGTTATTTGAATGGGAGTGTTGCCAGGCCTTTTGATTCCCATAAGGAAGCATTGGCATGGCTAGCCAGGCTACATCCACCTCACTTTAAATTTTCCCCATCTGAGTTATTTAAGGTCCTGAACTGCAATATATTTTTCTCATCCTCCCATCAGACGTTCAGCCTTAATTATTGATTCTTTCATGAGGAGTTCTGTTTTAGAGACAGAGAAATGCAGTTATGTGAACAATCAGTTGAGTAAATTTGGTCCGATCCCCGGACAAGGAAACTTTTAGAGTACTGGCAAATTAAAATTAGAATTCCAAAATTCAGCATGTAAACAACCATAAAAATGGTGATCAATCAGAACATTTAACTACTCCATCCATCCGTCCATCTACCCATCCAACGAACTGGTGCCTAACCACAGCACCCATTGGACAAGAGGAGGGAATTCCCTAGACAGGCCACTGTTCCATTCACACACTCATATGGACACTTTAGGGTTGCCTTTTAACCTAATGTGCATGTTTCTGTTCTGTGGGAGGAGAAAACCCACACATGCATGGGGAGAACATGCAAACTCTGTGTAGAAGGGATAGAACCTGTAACCTTCTTGCTGCAAGGCAAAAATGTCACCAACATTTTCAACATGCAGCCCCTCCTGCAAACCTTCCAGATAAACTGAACATCATCACAAACTGTCATCAGTCCAGACCTTCACCAGTGTGTGAGTGCACCTGTACTCTTCCCCCAGCAGACGGATCTCCCTGCTCCTGCTGTGTTCTCCTGCAATGTTTTTCAGGCAGCTGCTCACATTGTTAGACTGAAAAAAGCCATCATTCCCCACAGGAGAGCTTGTCATCTCAGTAAAGACTGTCATGTCGAGTTGAGGAAGTTTGTTTCTCACAATAGTGCGGCACAATAAGGCAACTTGAACGCAATTCAATGCAAAGCTATAATGTTGGATTGGCAAACATCTACTGCTTTTTATCTGTGTAGCTTTTTCAAAAAATTTGCAGAAGTTCCTTAGGGATTCTTATGAGATATGATGCATGTTGGGAGTCATTGTCATTCTGCAACTTTGTGCAAAGACCAAGAGAAGGTTAATCAACCTTGTGATATTGTGGCAGATGTTTGCCACTTTTTAAATAATCTGTTGTTGATCATACCTGTGCATACTCAGCAGATGAAAAAAGAAGATGCAGCAACAACAGCTAATACATTTAGCTCTTTTGAGCAAAATGCTCCGATTTTTCATGAGATGGACTTAAATATCTAAAATTCATTCCAGATACACAATATTACCATTTCTCTCAAACATTGTTCACTAATCAGTCTAAATGTGTAACAGTGAGCACCTGTGCTTTGCTGAGATAATCCATCCTACCTCACCTCACAGGTGTGCCACATCAAGATGCTGATCTGACATCATGAGTAGTGCACAGTTGTACCTTATACTGCCCACAATAAAAGGCCACCCTGGAATGTGCAGTTTTTTGCTTTATTGGGGGTCTGGGGACTCAGAACCGGTCAGTGTCAGGTGTGACCACGATTTGCCTCATGCAGTGCAACACATCTTCGCATAGAGTTTATCAGATTGTCAATTGTGGCCTGTGGAATGTTGGTCCACTCCTCTTCAATGGCTGTGTGACGTTGTTGGATATTAGTGGGAACTGGTACACGCTATTGTATACGCCATTCAAGCACATCCCAAACATGCTCAACAGGTGACATGTCCAGTGAGTATGCTGGCCAAGGAAGAACTGGGACATTTTCAGCTTCCAAGAATTGTGTACAGATCCTTGCAACATTATCTTGCTGAAACATGAGGTGATGTTCATGGATGTACGGCACAACAATGGGCCTCAGGATTTCATCACGGTATCTCTGTGCATTCAAAATGCCATCAATAAAATGCACCTGGGTTCTTCGTCCATAACAGATGCCTGCCCATACCATGACCCCACCACCACCATGGGCCCCTCCATCCACAACATTGACATCAGCAAAGCGCTCACCCACACAACGCCACACACGCTGTCTGCCATCTGCCCTGAACAATGTAAACCGAGATTCATCTATGAAGAGAACACCTCTCCATGTCACGTTTAGGAGGGTAGGACCCAAATTGCAGAACCCAGGATGACACGAGGCAGGAGTGGATATGTAAAGTAAAAATCCTTTATTTTGAGGAAGAACAAAAATAAATCCAAATGGGAGGGAGCCAAAATCCAAAAATCCAGGGAGTCAAAAAACACTAGAGGAACAAGCAGACTGACAGAACACATAACGCTGACAAACCACAATGAACCGACAAGAACAATGAGACAAGGAGGGCTTATATAGACAGGGAGGAGCAATTAGGGAAACAGGAAGCAGGTGTGTGGAGTGAGGTTGGAGGAAAGGCAGGTGACAGCAATTATCTGGATGGGGAAGAGAACCAGTGGAGGGCAGATAAACCTGACACTATATAAAACACAAAACTAAACCTAAAGACTAAGGGAAGAACTCACACAAACACATACACATACTGACACACACAAACTATGAACTGGGGAACAAGAGGCTGTGGCTATAACTTAAGACACACAACAGAGATGCAAAGGACACATGAGGGCGCTAAGAGAACACAAAAGGGAATACAGAGAGGGATGGAGAAACATTAGGAGACACATGGGGAAAGACGCAGACCAAGGACACATGAGGGCGCCATGAAACACAAAAGGAGAACCTGGAGTGGGAACTGGAAGGGCTGGGGAACAAAGGGACACAGAACATGACACTCCAACATGTCAGACGCCATCGAATGTGAGCATTTGCCCACTCAAGTCTGTTACGGCGACAAGCTGGAGTCAGGTCAAGACCCCAATGAGGACGACGAGCATGCAGTTGAGCTTCCCTGAGACGGTTTCTGACAGTTTGTGCAGAAATTGTTTGGTTATGCAAACCAAATGTTTCAGCAGCTGTCTGAGTGGCTGGTCTTAGACGATCTTGGAGGTGAACCTGCTGGATGTGGAGGCCCTGGGCTGGTGTGGTTACACGTCATCTGTGGTTGTGAGGCCGGTTAGATTGGATGTACTGCCATATTGTCTGAAACGTCTTTGGAGACAGCTTATGGTGGAGAAATGAACATTCAATGCACGAGCAACAGATCTGGTTGACAATCCTGCTGTCAGCATGCCAATTGCACGCTCCCTCAATGCTTGTGGCATCTGTGGCATTTTGTTGTGAGACAAAACAGCACATTCCAGGGTGGCCTTTTATTGTGGGCAGTATAAGGTACACCTGTGCACTACTCATGGTGTCGGATCAGCATCTTGATGTGGCACACCTGTGAGGTGGGATGGATTATCTCAGCAAAGCAGAAGTGCTCACTATCACACATTTAGACTGATTTGTGAGCAATGTTTGAGAGAAATGGTAATATTGTGTATCTGGAATGAATTTTAGATCTTTAAGTCCATCTCATGAAAAATTGGAGCAGAAACAAAAGTGTTGCGTTTATATTTTTGTTGAGTGTATGTATATACATACATACATACATACATACATACATACATACATATATATATATATATATATATATATATATATATATATATATATATATATATGTATGTATATATAAAACTTTCATAGCTTTGTTAAAAAATAAACCACAGAAAACAAAGGAGAAATACTTAATCTAGAAACAAATTCAACCTCTTAAAAATGTCACCATGAAAATTGGTTTTATTGTGATTTTTTCTCTATTAACAACAAATCAAAGATACTCTAAAATATAATTAAAATTTTTAAATCACATCAGAAAGAAGACATATTTTACACCAAAATATTGAGTTTCATCGTGAAAATCTTTAATTTTAACCAAATAAGCTACACCTCTCTTTGAGTGACACCTTTAGAGTTGACATCTTACCATTTTTATGAAAACATATTTGTCTTTTTTTAATGAAGAAGAAGAAGAAGAAGAAGAAGAAGAAGAAGAAGAAGAAGGAGAAAATACCTTTTCTATAGCGAGGCGTTTCACAAAAACAAAACAAACAAAAAAAATAAATAAGCAAAAAAATGCTGCCAGCTTCTTCTGCAAATCTAAAATTACAACTCAACCATAAATGTTTTCTGTTTTAAGTGCAGCCTGGGGACACCCACGGTTCCTCAGGAGGGTTTCTGGGATTTCCTGCAAAGTGCGGATTAGTGTAGTCTTACTCAAACTTAAAAAACTTTAGACAAACCTCTGAGGTAGAGACGGTGTGTGTATAAAAGTACATCAACACCTAACCCAGCCATCATCTTCCCATGTCTCTCCTCTCCTCAGGCATCATGTCCACTACGTCATCCCGTACGATGGGGACCACTCTTTGGTGGACTCTTCAGAGAACTATTTTGTGAGTGACAGTGTGACGAAGCAGGAGATGGACTTGATGCTGGGGCTGCTGTTGGGCTTTTGCATCAGCTGGCTGCTGCTGTGGCTGGACGGAGTCCTGCACTGTGCCGTCAGGGCCTGGAGGGCGAGCCGGTACTACGGTGAGATGGAAAAAGGAGTCTTCCTCCATTCATTTTAGTCATTAGGTCGACTGTTACGTGATAAAAACCAAGATCACAATTTTTTAAAGCACCTTTACTTTGAAGGGAATGTGCTAAAATGTGTTTGCGTAATCCACTGAGCCAACACATGCCAGATTAACGCAGAAATTGGTGTAGCTCTAGAAAAATGACTTCACAACCATTTTTGGCTCTTTTCACCAGTTTTTCCTCTCTTTGCTGCGACCTCTTGGAAATCTTCCAACTGTCTTATTATTCAGACATTCAGAAGCATAAGGCATAACTGATTTAAAATGGCTGTTTTAGATGTTCTGTACCTCTTAACTTGCTTTGGTTAAGCAGCTCTTGCATGACACAAACATGACCGAATCAAACAAGCAGGGCCTTTTGAATTACTCTTTTAAATGTTTGTTTTGTCTTTTAGTTTTAGAGTTTGAGCCAAAAATAGTTAACACTGAATCAAATGGTAAAATGGATGTCAATGTAACAGATGATGCTAAAGAAAACCATTATTCAGCAGGCGATGCTGTGAAATAGAAATATTAACAAGAATGGAAATAATTGGGATCTGCAGCTTCTGATTTGAACAATTGCTTAACTCAAAAGACAAACAAGCAGCAGTTTCCTGAAAAGGGATATTGTGATTTAAATTGTGAGTTTAAAAAAGAAGAGGAAATGGATTTAAAAGAGGACACTACATTTTCAAAGCTGCACCTCAGGATTTTGACAGCTATGGTTCCCACACTGTGAAAAACAAAGCCTTGGGAATCTCTCAAAATGCTCCAAAAGAGAATCTCTCACAGGAATCGGGCTCACAAATGATTAAAGAATCTTCAGAATAAGTTCACATTTAAATAATTTCTACTGCTGGAAAGCTGTGATGTGCTAGTTTTGATTTGTTAGTGCAAAATTCTGAGTTGGCATTAGAAAAATAAACCAATAATAAATTCTGCTGCATCACATTGAAGGGTTTTAACTCAGAATAGACAGAAGTAAACCCACAAAAGCAGATGCATTAGTAGATTTGTTTTTGAGTCAGTTAGAATGTAATGACCATTGAAACAGTTAACATCATAAGTGCTTGTTTATAAATCTGTTTAATATTCTGTTAGCTGGTGGTTTCCACTTTAGTCTGATGCTGTTGAAGGATCTCAGTCATTCAGGGTTTCATTACTAAGATGTTTCACTTCCTGAGGAATGATTTGTAAAACAGCTTGCATTAATGAAGATCTCACTGCAGTTTAAAAGTTACAATTGTCTGTTTGATATAAAAAAAAACTCTACAGGATAAAGGTAAAACATATTATAGGAAGTAAAAAATTCCAGTTGTATTCTTTTTTGCCCAGTATTGTATGATCCAAAGGTTCAGAATCAGAATCAGAATCAGAAAGAATTTTATTGCCAGCGCTCCAGCGATCCAGAGCATAGGAACTTGACTCCACAAACTCCCTCCTCCAACTCCCAAAGAATTCATCAAAGGGGTTCTAGAACAACAATCTTTTACAATTGTTCTTGGAATCTCCACGTAGCCTTTGAAAAGGAGTTTGGGCTCAAAAATTTTCAGGAGCCTTGAAAAATGGTCAAACACAACCCCATAATGAAGCCCTTCAATGAAAAAACTTTTATGGTACAGTTGACACACCGAGCTGCGTATACTCGACAAAAAAGTAAATGCAGGATAAATTCTAGAACCCCTTTAAAACTCCGGGTTCCACACTTGAGTTGATTTTGAAGAACATTTGCTGCAGCTTTGTGTTGCTGTTTTAGGACTGAGTTATAATTTGTTAGTGTTTTTTTTTTTTTTTTTTTTTTGCTTGAACAAATCCAGAGGTAGACTGTCCATAAAACAGTGGCAGTTCTAGAAAATCTTACATGCGGGTGCAAAGAAGAGGCAAAAGGTCTAGGCAGGGTGGCGATGCTGAAGCTCCTCATTGAAGTTTGTGAAAATCCCCTTTATGTAAAATGAGTCAACAAAATGATCACAAAAACACATAAAACTATTTGTTGTTTTGTTGTTTCTTCAAAAAAAGACAGTTTTTAGGTACAAATGAGAAAAACAAATGTTTCACGAAGTAGAGAATTAAAAAATATAGTCTTCCCACCCACCATAGAGCTGCTCCTGTCCTAAAACAATATTTTCCCTCAATTTTCTCTGTGTGCTGCAATCTTTACTTTTTTACTCATTTACTCAACTCTGAAACTGAAATGATGGATTTTGTCTAAAACACTGGACCTTAGATTTAGAAGGTTTTACCCATAAATGGGCTTTCGTTGAGATAAATGAAACAAAGCAGAGAAAAAAGCATAATGAAAGTCAAAAACATAGTGTCCTTCAACCCCCACTGAAAAATCCTGCAACTTTTTCAGCATTTTACCTCCCACAAAAATCACCATTAAAGATCCATGGTCCCTATTTGGTGGCTGCAGTAAATGTGGTCTAAACACAACCATGTCAGAAATGATTAGGGACTGAACATGGGTACATGATTATGATTTTTTAAAATTGTGCTACAGGAAAATCACTTTTTTCTTACATTTGCTTTTCAGAAACATCAAATAGCCTTTTCTGGAATTTATTTGCAAAGTTTGTTTAAATGTTCTGCCTAAAAACGCCCCATAAAACATTCAGTTCTTCTAGTTAATTGGTACTCGTTATTCTAATGGAGGCTGTGAGTAAAACAGCACCAAACAAAGTCAAGACAAAGTATTACTTCCGTTTGAGTAGTTGCATGTCCCAGAAACATCCACAGATTAAAGTCCTTCAGCGGTTATAGCTGTCACAGTGGATAGTTTCGAGTCTGAAGTTAGTAAGTGAGATGAAAGTTTTTAATTTCAATGTTTACATTACAGTTTTTTAATAGGACTTCTTATGAATATTTGAAAGTTGGTAATCTAATCTTAACATGTGGCTAAAATGACATGTTTCCATGTAAAGGCACAGTTCTGGAGGTGATGTTTATTGTAGACTACTCTTGAATTGTAGACTCAAACCAGACCTAAATCACACAGACTGAGATGTCTCACTCTCACCATCTGATGTTCTGCAGTGAATGCCTCGTTTTCGCATGCCGTGTGTTTAAATCCAGCTGGGGTGATAGCTGCCGTTTAATTTCCTGTTTTCTGTCAGCATCCCTCCCTGAAATATACATGTCATTTCTCTACCCATCTCTGCCTGACAGATGAAGGATGCATGCTGTTTTAGCAGGGGAGATGGAATACAGTGAACATAATGAGACAGAACATGTGGTCCATACACCACTATTCTAGTGTGGGGGGATTACAGTGGCTTCGTTTCACACGCTCGCTCTGGATTCTTGGGCTTCTCCCACCCAGTCAGGAACAAACTCAAAATGAAGAAAGGAAGATCAAATCCAGGAATCTGTTCAAAACTTGAATGGCAAGATGTTTTTTTTTATTGGGCTCTACGCTTTCTCAGATGGTTTCTGATGTGGAGTTGGCCTGGATCTTTTTTAGCTTAAGAATAAAGTAGCTGATATGTGACCTGGATACTGGGACTGCCATGGAAAAGCTCCTCAGGCGAGACTGGGAAGTATCAAGCTAAAGAATGACACTTAATCAAACACTGTTTGTATTTTTGTTCAAGATTTGATTTTTCTGATGCATTAGCAGATGTGCTTAACTTGGAGAACATAAACATATTTAAAATTAGTGGGGAATGGGTCTGGGATTTCTTTTCTTTATTGAGAAGGAATACCCCCTCATTTTTTTTTGTTTATGTCACTGTGATTTTGTTGCTAGGTCAGACACATTTAGCCTCTCTGACTTGAGGAGTGAAGGTGAGGCTGACAGAGCAGGGTGTGTGTTTGTGTGTGTATGTGTGTGTTCGAGAGCAGGATGGAGATGCTGTCACATCTCCAACCCCCATTTACACACACATTGCTGCACACATACATGCACACACACCCTCTCTTTTCTGGAGCTAAAAATAGAACAAGAGAGCAGCTGGAATGGCGAGTAAGAGATGCACACGGTGCATTGAAATGCACATGGATTGTTGATGATCTTTTCTTTCTCTCCTCATTTCCTCTCTAACTCCTGCTTCCTTCCCTCCTTTCTCATTTATGGAATCTACTCCTGGCTATTTCCTTCACCATGCCTCCTGCTGGTTCTGCATCTTATCGCCAATTTGATGTTAATATCTGATACCAGATGCTCTTTTGCAAAGACTCCAAAGGAAGAAAAACATTTTTTTAGATCGAGAAAATTATGACTTGGGATTCTGAACAAATTCCCTTTTGGCTTCTTTTCGCAAAGCTATTTTGATTTTTTGTTTTGCTTGATCCTTCCTCCTGACTCTCCATTCTTTTATTGAAATGACAGAAACCTGTCTTTGTTGCCCCCTTTTCCTTTGGATACCCTTCAGACCAGTCCTTGTGGACAGCACACCCATTCGCAGCTATAAATAACTATGGTACCTCTCTTCCTCCTCACCTCCTCCCATCTACCCGTTACCTGCCCCCCAACCACCCCCACCCCTCTCATCTCCATGCACAGCCATTTGCTCCTGGGCTCGCTGTCTGGGGCTCTCCCCTTCTTTTCTGCCAGTTGTCTCCACGGTTCGCCTTGCCGGCTCCAGTTTATAACCTGACAAGCCAGAATCTATGTTCCGCCATTATTCTCGTCATATTGTGCACTCATTAAAAAAAAAAAAAAATAACACTCTCCTTGATTCCAGTCAGACTTACAGTTATGCAGCATCTGTAGAGTATGAAGTCTAATTGGGAAGATAAACCAAATTTGCTCATCTTTGATTCACTCTATTCTGAAAATAATTCCAGTCAGGAGTGCAGCTGCACAAAAACAAATGTGAAGGTTAAGTGGCCAAACTGTGCACTTTACACTATTTAGGAATCCCATCCAACACTTCAGACTTGCTGTCTTTTGTTCCTCCTCTGTCACTCGACCCTCTGGTGTAAAATAACTCCTACTTACCAGAATTAGAGGTTACAGTAACAATAAAGCCAGCGGTGACGGAGCACACTCCTCATTGGGTTCTGCAGAAGCTCATAATTCACATTTCCAAAGCACATTGTGCACTAATATAATTAATGCATTGTTCAGTTTTTGTACATATTTCATTAGAATTTCATTAAATATCCTGTGTCAAGCAAATTTACATGTTCCTGAGTTATTTACTTCCTCTCACATTTCATAACCTTCTGGTTTTTTCATTGTCCCCTTCAAAAATGATGACATCCATCCTACATTTTTGGTTGACGAGAGCAAAAATAACAGTTAGGCAGGCATTAGGTAAATGTGTTACACTGGATTGTAAATAAGAGGGTCTGCATCATTTACATGCCAAGTAGGAGGAGTCTGCGGCCCTTGGCCAGATGCACCCCCACTCAGATCCAGCAGAGAAGGGCGACACGACCACATGGTTGATGCAAACATAACAGGGATTTTCTGATGGCATGTGAAAATGTGCAACAAATTAAAACAAATGATCATGTTTATTTGCTGAATCTTGACCATTAAGATGCAGTTCTGATGAGATGGGAATTACTTATGAGCATTTTCATGCACAAAAAAAATTGCAACACTTCTTTGTTTGCAAAGCCTAGGCTAAATTTTAATGTCAAATTCATGCAGCTGAGTAAATAACATGTTTATTTGTGACCAAAGTGGATTGATTTTGTCTTACAACAGCTCCAATCTCCAGAACTCACAACAGTTCATGCAACTTTGTTGTATAAACATCACACTTAGGCCTAGACGAAATGTCAAGAATTAAAATTTTTTTTTGATACACTTTCAACCCAGGCGAAAGATGACCCAGTAAAATTTATATCAATGTAAATATTCAACCAATAAATTTCAAGGGCTAGCAGGTGTCGCTCCTGTTAGCGGTAAACACACATTCTTTCTTGTTCAGTTGATTGTGTTACTGAAAAAACTAACAATAAAGTTGTTCTGTAGATTCATAAAAACATTATTCTATACCTAGCTTTGTATTTAGCTTTGCGGTTATTAAGTTTTGGGTTTCAGCGAACCTTTTGCTGTGTCTGCTGCACCGGGATTTGTTTTTCCCGTTTGTGTTTGGAAACCATCCAAATTCTGTTGCTTAACCAGGTAAAGCCTTGTTTGTGCTTCTGCGTCAGCTCCACAAGGAAGAGATGCACACACATTGACAGAGATGTTTTCTGGGGAGTGTTGCAAAGCAATTCCCCGCCAGGACAACAGGGGGCGTAGCACTGTTCTGGGGTATCCTGTTACGTATCCGGTCCAAGATAGTGCGTTTACTATTGTATTTATATTGTGCTTTTTGTATTTGAGAGACTTTTTAACACGGACACATTTTTCCCTCATTCTTCTCCACCTCTTCATGCACTTGCCCCCTCTAAACCCATGTTTCTCATAGTTTCCATTCACAAATAAAACACTTATTGTGTATCTTATTTTTCATCAAGTCACAGGTGAATAAAACGCTCGTATCTTTTAGAGTTTCTCTGCAAAATATGCTTCAAGCTGCTCTGTCTGTCTGCCGCTAGACATTGTTGCCTCTCTTTACGTTTTTGAGGGTGCAATGGCAGTGTTGTTGACGAAAGTGGCGCCCTAACCAATCACAGGCTTGCATTCTCTGTCTCATTTGATGGATGTTTGGAAAAGTGGGCATGACTCTGTCTGTCCTTGCAAACCTGCTGGAGAGCCCTTGCAAGGATAGATAATGGCGTTGTGTTTCTCCGTACAGATGCAGAAGCATAGACTAGGCTTAACAGGTATGGAGGCTGAGCAAATACCTCAGAAACTACCATGAATTTTTCCCCATTCACTGATATGAGTGAATACTGTGGGATATATCTGCCTTCAGAAATGGAATAAATTTGCACTGCATGGCCCCTACCAGCATAACCCCCTAGTTACGTCGTGAAACTCGCTTAACATGATATATTTTTTCTGGGGCAAGAAAAATGTGAATGGACATTCATGGGTCAAGCTTTACTATTTCTGCAGAAATAATAACGTAACACAAACATAACGTTAATGTAAATATTTTTATAAAATTAAGTTTGCATTAAATCATAAAACATGTGAGCACTTTTGTCTTAGGTTAGCTCAGACTAGCCATTAGCTTATCAGTTCTAAAATACCTTAAATTAATGAAAACATAGAAAAACCTGTTTCACTCACACACACACACACACACACACACACACACACACACACACACACACACACACACTCTCTGTTAACTCTTGTTACTTTTCCTGCAGATACTCCATCCTGGTCATGGCTGCCCCAGTTCTGCAACCTTCGAGACCTCCGTCGCCGAGCTCAGCTCAGACAGCTGGAGGACTCAAGTGGCAACATGGTCCACATCAAGCAGAAGCTGTATCACAACGGTCACCCCAGTCCCCGACACCTCTGACTCTAAAAAAAGGATACCTTAACCCTTCCCTTCCCTTAAAACTTCTCCATTTCAACAACACAACCGCTTCGTGCCAAACGTTCCCATGGCCAAATGTTGCCTGAGAGACCTGGAACCCCCCGTTTATAACTTGTCCCACCTTAACCCAATCAGACAGGACTTCCTTTTGACTTAACCCTGTCTCTGTCTGCACTTCAAATGAAACCCCAAAATGAAAAAGTGTAATTGTTGCCACTTAAGTCCGCCTTTGTGAGAGGAAAAGGTAAAGTTTTTAAAGGTGTTTTTTTCTGTATAGAGACATTTTCTGTGTTTATTGTTAAACTTGGCATGCTCTCTTAGAACAGGGTAAGACTTTGGATGTGTAAGGGCCGAGGTAGTTGAGGGTGTTTTCATTTTTCTTTGTTGGGTGGGGTCTTGTGGGGTGGGGTGAATGTGACTGCAGGGTGGGTGAGTCAGACTGCTGCTTCTGTAAATAGGTATGAATACAGACAGGTGGAATTTTACGAAAGGGGGAGGTGAGGGGGCTGGGGATGACATTATTGTGTGAGTTATTTATTGATAGAACACTGATTACTGGACTGTGCGTAAATAAAAATATAGAGAAGGAACAGAAGATTGAGTCTGTTTGAAAACTGGATGTGAAAAATGTGATTTCTGCTTAAAAACAGATTAATTAGCTTTGTTACTTAGTGAATTAACTGAATGTATTAATTTATCCTGTAAATACGTGAGAGGCAGGAGGGCACGAGTGGTTGTGGTCCGAGTTCTCTTTGCTAAATTATTAATCTTTCTTTTACACTGGAAGATAAAAAGTAAATGCCAGCCAAAATGTTCCCGTTAAACCACTTCCATGCTTCCCGAGAGTTTTCTTTCTTCCCCTTCCCGTTTCACTTATCAGGAGCAACCAGCCTATCAGCAGAGGGAACCCTCACCCAGCACCACCTCCCCCTCCTTGCCCTCTCTGTCCAGTCATTGCTGTTGTGAGGATGAAATGTCTGTTTTATTAAAAGTGCTATTGAAGCACAACAGTGACCTCTAATGTTTGATTGTGTCATTCCAGTTGTCTGAGGGCAAATTGTGGCGTGAGAGGTTATTTCAGAGTGCTGATTATACAGCGAGGTCCCACTGATGAAAATTCAAACTGACTAACAGCCCTTCTGAGACCAGTGACACCCTCGTGGAGCCCAAAAAAGCCCACTGTTGTTATTCAGAACAGCAAAATGATGCATTCATGTCGTTACTCAAATTTATTCTGAACTGCCCAGAAGTATTAGTGACATGTCAAAAGAAAATCTAAAACAAAACCTGGACTCAGTATTGAGATTAACGTTGGTACGTCAAGAAAAAAGTCAGAATATTGACAGCGTTGGGGTCCTGCCCTCATGAGAAAATTACTATGCAGTATTTTCTCCAAAGGACTGTGCCATCTACGCCCTGAAGCGTAGACAATAAAGCATGTTAATATCAGCGCCAGCAGGGACTCCATGTCCCATGATCCTCTGCAGCGGGCAGCAGCTTGATGACGCCATCAAGTGACGCCAAGTCTGACATGCCCCCGGTGGATACCGGCCCCTACAGAGACCGCCCGCTGGACGAGTCTATAAAGCCGAGGCGCAGAGCGGAACTCTTTCTCTCCCCTGTCCAGTTCACCTGGTGTAAGGAGACCCCCGCTTCTGCTCCTACCGCTCCGGACGGCGTGTGTGTGAGGCCTAGCTGCTGGGATCAACGGACCAACGCCATCTGATCTGTTCAGCCCCGGACACGAGGGACGCCTTGTGTCCGTTCATTCAAGATTTTTCTTTTTTCTCTCTCTTTCTCTCCCGCTTCTCTAATAGTCCAAAACAAGCGGTCGACCACGTGACTGCTTTAAAATACTAGACGGTCTCTCTCTTCCGTTCTAAAAACGCCAACGGACCATCTCGAAGTAAGCTCCGTTTCTCTTATTGTTTTAATATCAAAGTTTGTTTATGCTGTGGCCAGGCCAGACAGACTGTTTAGATATTTAATTTGCCTTTATGACTGATCTGTTGTTTTTTTCTTGATCTTTGTGAAGCGATTTGAAGTGTTTTGATTACGTTTACTGTGAACGTTTGCTCACACCGTCAAATACGCGTCTGATCAGGGTCCCACACCCACTGATTGTGCGTATTTGGGAAGACAAGCTAAATTACACACACACACACACACACACACACACACACACACACACACACACACACACACACACACACACACACACACACACACACACACACACACACACACACACACAGAGTTCAATCCTTTGTTCAGCCAAACAAAGGATCCGCCATTTTGTTTTAAAAACTCCCTCCAGTTTGGTAATCAGCCGATCTCTGCCTGATTACATCATCAAGCAGCCTCATCATTGCTTGATCACATCACCATCTCACCCCACTGGTCTGATTAGATTGTTACTTCATATTTACGAATTTTATTGATGAATCCAAAGGGTAAGTAAAGCTTACAAATTATTTGTTGGCTAATAACCACAACAACAGAATGATGTTGAAATGCTGATAAAAAGTGGAGGGCATTAAAGTGTTACCAGTGACACCAGAGGACAACTCTTCATGAGAAAATGGGCATGCTGGAGATTTAAGTAACCCAAAGTGATGCGGTCCCTGAGGTCTAGTGACCAAAGCCTACTGGTTGTGCAGCACCAGGCTAAGGACCAAAGATGACAGATCATTTGCTGCTGTGGACCCCAGATTCTTGAACTCTCTCCCCCTGACCCTGAGATCAGTGGACTCAGTGGTCTCCTTTAAAAAGCAGCTGAAAACTCACCTGTTCATGCTGGCTTTTGTGTGACCTTCATCACCCTCTCCTTTTTCTGCTCTTTCTACTTATTCTGCCTTTCCCCCGATCCACTGATTTCCTCCTTTCCTATTTATTTTCTCTGTACCGTTCCTTATATTTTCTATCACACGTCTTTATCTCATTTTAAACATATTTTGATCATTTTTTAAACTCTTTTTTATACTTTAATTATTTTCTTGTTTTTTGTGAAGCACCTCGTGATTGTTATCTTCAGAGCACTATATAAACGATTGTTTTCTTTCTTTCCTTCTTTCCTTCTTTCCTTCTTTCTTTCTTTCTTTCTTTCTTTCTTTCTTTCTGTGCAGCAGTATCTGACCAAATGTGACTTTAAAGATTAGATGAAAACTGTTCATGTTTTTTGAGCCGTCTGCAAAATAAATTTCGGGAAAAAACAGGTGCATTTGGGGAAATTTAGGGTTTAGATTGCAGCCAATCTTAAAAATGTTTAGCCTTCATCTATTTCCTGAATAGAATAGAATTCAACTTTATTGTCATTGCACATGTACAGGTACAGGGCAACGAAATGCAGTTTGCATCCATCCAGAAAGTGCTTTAGCCGTGATATAGATGTATTACAATATATGTTAGCAATAATATAGATGTGTAAGTATATTACAGAAATGGATCTATTACGTATGTTATAATGTACACGGTATGAAGTATGTTATAAATATTCTATGACTATAAGTATGTACAGGCTGTAGTTAATACAAGCAGTCCATGAGTTTAACGTGGGTCATGTGTCAATAGGCAGAGTTCAGGAGTAGACAGCTGTTGGGAAGAAACTGTTCCGGTACCTGGTGGTCTTAGTCCGGAGGCTCCTGTAGCGCCTCCCAGAGGGCAGCAGGGTGATCAGTGCATGTGATGGGTGACTGTGGTCTCTGATGATTTTCCTAGCTCTTTTCAGACACCGCTTCCTGTAGATGTCCTTTATGGCAGGAAGTGGTGCTCCGGCGATGCGCTGGGCAGTTTTCCCGACCCTCTGCAACGCCTTCCGGAGTTGAATTACTCTCTGAGAAATAAAGATATGTTATGACCCCGTTAGATTTTTTCCCTCCAAAAGCAAGAGGTGAGAAATTCTGAGAAAAAAAAATCTACTGAATTAATGACACAAACTTTATAAAACCTCTGATAAATAATTTGTGGCATTAACAATAAGTGAGTTATAAATATGTGAGTTAAGGGAAGAGGTGGTTGCAGGAACAGATCTGTGTCCCTACAAACATTAAAAAGCTGCTTTCTGCAACTTCCCTCCAACAGAATTCCAGGTTTTTGGAATGCCTGCTGATTCCTTTTAGCCAGTGAACCCTCTACCCCAGCACCACCACCACCACCACCACAGTCACACACTCTGCTGCAGCATCTGTTGTGTTTGCTTTGACAGCAGCATCAGCAGTTTGCAGCTAGCTCACATCTTCTTTAATGACATCCTTAGTTTCTTTTGCTGACAGAACTCCGGTTCCCTTTGAAGGGGCAAATTATTCAAACACAACTCCTGGCTAAACAAATGCATGCACTAATTGTGCAATATGTTAATTACATTATTTTATAGCAGGAAAAACACATTAAACTTATTAATTTAACAGTTAAATGTTTGGGGGTCTGTGAAGCATGCCTGAAATATGTAACTAAATAGCTGAAAGGAAAAGCAAATTGGAATCGAAAATGAGAAAATAAATCAAGGCACCTCCTGTGGGTTTTATGATCCCTTCTGTGGCTTCTCTTTTTAAAATAATTTTAATATATTTTATGATTTTCTAGCATATTAGCACCTTTCAGTCAGAAAGTTATAAATACAGAAAACAAAGAAAAGACACGCTAATTATGCCATAAATATTAGGATCTAAAAATAAACTGAATAATAGGAACAATATTTAAAAACAACATTTTGCTCAGATGTTTCAGATATTACAACAGTGGTGTTAAAAGAAGGGGCTGAGCCACAAGAAAAGCTTATTCCTAAAAGCAGCTGTGGAAAAATTATGTTAAGGAATGATTCCCTTGTGGGTTTTCATGGAAATAAACACATCTGAAGACGTGGGAAAGTAATTAAGTCCATCTACTGAAGTAATGACAAGGAAAAATACCACAGATGCACAGTTATTGATTAAAACAACTCAAATTTAATGAAATCACAATCTGTTCAGATGCCATGGACAAAGTTACAGAATCTCATGTCAACTGGGAAAAAAGAGAAAAAGTCTCTAAAATTATGAGTGGGAACTGGTTAATCCTCTTGTTGAATGGAGGCACAACAGGTCTGTACAAGAAGATTTGGAGGTTTAATATATTTCCTGTGATCCATGCTTTAATTCACCAGTCTTAAACAACAGAGGCATGCTGCTGGCCCGCTACTCTCTCGCTACTTAAAAGCCTTTTATGAAAGCAACCAGTAAGACTCAGACACCTCTGTGGTTTCAGTATTGAACACTTTATTTGTACTATTATGCAACCTCATCCAGTAAAGCCATCCACAGGGACCAATGCTTTCCTTTGAGGTGGTAAATCAACTCAGCGACAGAGCAGCAGCGCCTGCATCTTAATGAAATACTTACTGTCTCTCTGCAGAAGTAGGCTCAACAAACTCAATAACACAACAATTCTAGTTTCATCAGATTGACCTTAGATACCAGCCTGTCAAATTGTTCAGGCTGTTGGTGCATGAACGACAATCAAGAAGCTCGTTGTTCATATGTTACAACAGAAGACTTTCATGAGTCCCTTTTTTAATTATGCATATGTTTCAAAAAATAAAATCTGCATCATCAAAATGCACAAGGCACTGTGTCTGACCTCAGCAGGGCTCACTAAAGCTGGGCGGACACTGTGCGACTTTTTCACTCGTAGCTCTGTGAAAAATCCATAGCGATCCATCAGCTGCCTGCAGGGGGTGGTGCTCCCCGCAAATCAACATTCTACATGTGTAGAGTTCAGCTTCCTCCTTTTGGCGGTAAAGAGTCCTTGGAGCAAATATGGCCGTAAGGTGGTTTGGAGGAAAGGTCATAAAGGTCTAAGAACAATAGACCTGTCAAAAATTGTGACGAAAGGTGTTTTCTTCATCTCTCTTACAGTACGTAGACCTCAAGGCTGCAGGCTGAAAACATCAAAGAGGATGAATTCACAAGCCCACTTTTTTCCAGGGCTTTTAATGTAATTAGCCAGTCAAAGTAACAGCAGATCCAGATACCACACTA